GCATAGATCTGCTATGTCAGTCATTACATATTTTCATTTTCAATATTATACAGTATTTTGTAAAATACATTTCACAATGCACCAGTAAATGTTGTCATGGAAATCTCTCCTGCTTCACTCGATTGTAAGAGTTGGAAATGTTCATGTGAACACCTGTCTGTGCCTTATAGGGTTTAATCCACCCATCATGCCCCTAAAACAATCTGACTTGCAAATGACTTAAATATATTCTAATTGTTTTAATAATTAATTCATTGATCAAGGAGGCTGCCACACCGATAATTAGATAATCTTAGCTAATCAGCAGCTTGTGGCGCTGTCCAAACATCCCATTTGTTTTACTCTTCCTCCAACCGCCTAACAATTAGATTAGGGAAATGATAACACACAATGTGCTTTTAATTAAGGGCAGACGAGAGCTTGCACTTGGAGGTAGGAGCGTGCAAAAATAGCATAAATTAAACTTTTGTTGTCGTTTGGCATTAGCGTTCACAGCTTCGGAGTCTGCAGTCCTCCAAGTGAAAGGTAATGAAAGGTCATCCTGTGATAATTGATATTGTCAGACACATTTGTGGCTATTATGAAAATCTGTTTGGTCAAGATCGGTCAGGATCGGTCAGGGACAGGAAGGAAGAGAGGTGAGGTCAAGACTGAGGACAAGACATATCTCATGCTACGATGACTCTTGTACAGCTAACCATGCATCAAGTTCAAGATCTTAAAAAATATTCTGGAATGTGACTTTTTAAAATATTTATTTGATTTTATTTTTAATGGGGCCTTCCTAACTTATTCCAGCCCAATTTGCTCAGTAGTACTGCAGACATACAGTTTTTGTAGACATACACACACGGCGGCCATTACAATACCTAAAGTGAAACCTGTCAATACTTGTTTACTTTTGTGTTTATTATTTACACACATTTAGTTAGTACTTCCTAATCAAAGTACTTCGGTTTCTGCTCAAATGTGTTGAAATCAGTAACAGTATCCGCATTACCTCCGCCCATGTGGTAACGGAATCACCAGCGTTTGTTTGTCTGTGAGAAACAAAACTCAAAAAGTTATTGGAGGATTTTGGCAAAATTCAGGAAATGCCCGCACTGGCCCAGAAAATAACTGATTACATTTTGAAGGATGGCACTGCGCCTCTAAGCAGAGGTCTGTGCTCCACCAGTGCTTTTCTGGTTTGTTTTTGTTTCTATAGTAATTATACAATACTCAAAGTTGAAATCCTTTTAATGGATCTAAAACTTTTTATCTGACTAGATATAGCACCATTGTAAAACAGACTTATTCTATTTGAAACTTCAGTCTTTCTCAGATTTGTTTTTATGTTTTGAAAAGGAAAAATATGAAAATAATAATAGTCATAGTGCGATTAACTCTCCTGTGTCTGCAAGTAGTCAAGGTGGTGCCCTCGAGCGTGTTTGTATACTTCCCCAAACCACTAGGAAGTGTATATTGTTCGATCATAGATATTTGAAATTAACACTCTTAACATTATGGATCCACTTCATTAGTTTAGATATGGGACGCGACATTCATCATCTATGTTCCATTTAGATCTACATTAAACACTGTATGTGCCTAAAGATGTCTCTCCTATTTCTCCACATCTTTTATAATTCTTGATCATACTGTTTTTATAATAATTGTTGACTTAAAATCTATTGAATGAATTATTTAACTAGCTTTGTGAATAGCATTTCCATGTTCCTTTTCGTCAGTCGATTTTGAAGCACATGCACTTTTAATTCTGTGTAATTGTTTGGCTCGCACAGAGTGGACAGCCCGACACATTTCACACATCAACACCCCCTCAGAGCTCCGTGGGGCGGTGGGCCAGTGCTCCGCCTGTCCTTCTATGTGAGGCTTCAGTATGGAACATTCACTGATGGGAATTTGCATTGCATTTGCAAGAGACTACTGCGGTGGACATGCCCTGGCTATTGTTTTGTTATAGACATTTGTGTTCACACCAATGCAGACTAAATCCAGGACAGAACAAGGACTGGACCTGATCTGAACGAGGACTGGACCTGGGCTGAACAAGGACTGGACGATGATTGAACCTGGGCTGAATGAGGACTGAACTAGAACTGGACCAGGACTTGACCAGGGCTGAACGAGAACTGGACCCGACCTGAACGAGGACTGGACCCGATCTGAACGAGGACTGGACCCGATCTGAATGAGGACTGAACCTGGGCTTAACCAAGACTGGACGATGACTTGACCTGGGATGAACGAGGGCTGGACCAGGACTGGACCAGAGCTGAATGAGGACTGGACCATGATTGGACCTGGTCTAAATGAGGACTGGACCTGAGCTGAACAAGGACTGAACTAGGTCTGAACCAGGGCTATACCAGGGCTAAACAAAGATTTATTAAGGACTCAATTGTTGATCTAAGTATCTGTCATCATCAGTCTCTTGTATTTCCCCTCATTCTCCATCTTTGATTAGCGATTAACTACAATTTAATATATCTTTCCTATTTTACGATTTTGTCCCCACCTCTACGCTTAATAATATTATTCTATCATATGAGAACATGCATTGTAAAATCTGGCTTGTGCGTATAAGTCTCCAAACAGAATATTAAAGCTATGGACTTGATCACCCCTGATGCCCTTTAGCACCTCTCAGTCATTCTTGTGTAACAGACAGTTGGCTTACCACAACCTGTCACTTCACATCAACTCAGCTCCGGCACACGCCTAAAGATGAGCCGGCCTGGAAGGGGACTTCACTGAGCCAACAATATCCCAAAGAAAATTAACTCATAACTAGAGCTGTCTCAAGCTAATATTATAGAGTATGAGTGGCAAATACCAGTGAAAATCCAAACTTACTTTCTGTTGTCGATCATGCAGTACCTGATGGGCATTAAAGGAATAGGCCACCGTTTTTACATACTGACATATGTTCTTACCTTACCTTAGACTAGTTGATATGTACCTGTCTGGTCTTTGTCCGTGCGCTCTGTCATGCAAACGGAGCACAAACGCAGCCTCTTCCATAGACTATAGTTCCAAATCAGCTCCCGTTAGAAGCTACCAAACTTCCATGTGTTCCCTTATTTAAATACAGTTAGGAGACGTGTTACACTACAAAGTATATGTATGTCGATTTTCTCAGCGGATAAAAAGGGGTACTATATTGTGAGGCGTAATAATACGAGGAGCACTACGTCCGCACACTAACTCCTTAAGACTTCTCTCCCGCTCATGCTGCTTCTATTGACGGAAGTGAGCAACTTTTTTCAACTTCTGTGGACTCTGTGACCTACTGTATATGGCCAATGTATGTATTTTTATTTTGAAGTGTGCAACCGGAGCACAGTGACATATTTGTTTATGAACAGCAGAACGAGCCGACACAAGGAAGTGCAGAGAAAGACACAGGACCTGGTTTTGTGTGATTAGGACGATGGTCAGAGCAGAGTTCATAGACTTATTTTAGCTTTTGAGTTTTAGTAGGAATGGTACACACAATTATTGTCAAAATTAACTTTGATCATTGTAAGTAAACGGCGCTTTAAAACACCTTGTCATTAAATCATGTTGTGTCCAGTTAAAACATTCGTCTTATCAGTTTTGTTTTGTGCCAACAGCTGTTAGTTAAGTGTTTTGACAACATCAGCCGCTTATTCAAATATGGCTGTATGTGGACAAAATTCACTTTCTTTTCAAATGTTTTTCTGGAGGAATGATTGTTCAAAAGACCTGGACGGGTTGAAGTAAAATTGTGGAGAAGGGGGTGATGTTAGGAAGACATTTGCACCTTAGTTTGACTCTAATTTGCATACAATCTTGCTTCTCTTAAATGAGTAAAACGTCAAGAATATTAATGAGGCACATTTTCACATAAGATAGAATGGAAATAACTTGATATTTTCATGACAAAATAGTGAAAATTATTATCTTTTGAGTTGCTATGATTATATTTTGTCCTGATTAACCTAAGAATCTTCCAGACCCCAGTCCTCATGGCACTGACCAGGAGAGGTACAGCGTGACATATGTGGCGGTCGCAGCAGAAGGTATGGTGCTGCTTTTGCTGTGATAACAGCTGGTTCCGCTCCGTCCGCAGCCTGCTCTGTCACTTTGAGCTCAGACTCTTGATGAGCTCATTTCAGCAGCATGGCCAAAAAGTATCGGATTAGACTTGTCGGAGTTTGAAAAGGCCAGCTTTGGACTTTGCAGGATATTGACTGTTGATATTATGGTATCAACTGTGACTATACGTTTGATTAGAGTAAATATCACAATGATCTGTTGTGCTTTTCAAAATCATTTGAGCGCACTCAGCAGTATGAGGATTTCCAGGCTAACGATGAAACTGTTGAGATTGCATGATAATACCTGACAGCGATAGTACCAATATCCTCATCTACCCTTTACATTTATTTGTGCATATTTAGAAATGGTCAGAATCTAGAAAAACTAGAAAATGTATCATGAGAAAACAGGCCGTTTATTTAACCCTCTACAGCTCTAGTTCTTTTACATTTTATTTTGCCTTGTTTTATAGCAAAGATGTAGCCATAAAGATCTTGAGTCCTAAGATATGTTTGTAGCATCTATCAATTAATTAGTATGAACAATGTTGACGATGCTGTATTTATTGTGACACGTAAATAATGTTATTTTAAAGCATTATGGTTGTGGGAGTGATTTCCAGACCAATCAGAAACTCACTTAGTTTCAAACCACCTGTTCCATCTTGCATTTCCTTAATTTTCTTGATTTTTGTCTGTTGTTGTTTTGTGTGTATTGTGACGTGCAAAAAAGCGCTATGTACGTTTGAGGCATACTTATTATTTATTCTTAGAGGTTTATCAATAACAGTAATAATAGTTTTTGAAGAACAAAAGCCAGATAGTCGACTATATGAAGGCAGTGTGGGCATGGGGAAGAGAATCGGTTATTATTCCCTTTCTTGCCAACCAGCTCATCACATCTGTCATCGCCTATAGAGCCATGGTGCACGCATGCTCTGCTGCAGTGGGACGTATGTGGGTCAGTGCTTCCCCGCGGTCTTCCCAGGCTCCGGAGGTGTGCCGCGGATGTCAGGTCACATTTAGCCGCGCGTCCGCCATTTAACCCAGGCCCGTTATCACTCGGAAGACCCCAAATAAAGAGCCTTCAATGGAATAAACGAGAGACTGATAGGGAGGGGCTGTCCTTAAGCGTTGATCACTAACAATGATGGATGGTGGAGGGGCAAGCGCTCGCAGGAGGCTGGTTTGTCAATAGCAAGGAACACATCGGCGCGCGGAGAATGCTTAGCGGTGTTTCCCAGCGTCTCTGCGGACCCTCTATAAATTGTAATCAGGTCTGCTACCTGTCAGTAGCAGCTGTTGCACATCTGTATCTCCCCTCTCATGTGCGCTTCACAGGGCCTGAGCCGCAAAATCAACTGAAAGCTTAATTATGTCAGGTGATGGAGAGGGTTTTGGAAGGATTGTAAGTTCATCGGATTTTGATTATTTAGATTACATCATCATAAAAAGATTCTGCACAGCTTGTAATAGAATGGTTACCCACAGTCTGTAGGCCTTTAGAAAGATTTTTTTACTTCTGTCCTACGATTTCAAGCCGACATATTACAAAAAGTAATACATTAGTACAGTGTCTCCCAAAGTGGGGTCCGCGGCCCCCTGGTGGGCCGCGAAGGTACTGCAGGGGGGCCGCGGGAGGTCATAAAAAAAATAATATAATTATTTAATGTTAAATTTATAATGTTTTGTTTGTAATATTAAAATATTTGTGTTCATTATTTGACTTGAATAATCCACTGTAATCATTTTTGTATTACAATGTTTGTAGCAGAGGCTATTTCCCCAAAATAAAATAACCAGAAGAGCCTATTCTTAATGTTGTCTTCTTGGTTATTATTTTGGGGGGCCACGCAGACCCGTCAGATTTTTAAGGGGGCCTCGGTGTTACTGAGTTTGGGAATGGCTGCATTAGTAAATACATATTGAAATTGTAAATATACCAACACATGGTGAAACTATGGCAAATACTGTTGCCTGAATGTATATTTATGGATATCTTTTTTGGTGTATACTGTAAGAGCAATCAGCAACACAACAATGTACAAAGTATCTCCATTAAAGAAGGAATGTTAATATTGTAAATAATATCAATTCTGCTCAAATAGATCAAATCAATCAATCCTTAGAGAATGCATGTAGATAAACTGCTAGTTCAATTTGAACCAATGGTGTAACAATTTGCTCAGTATTAAATCTGGGGTACCTAACTTTTTTCTCAATGTGTATTCTGTTTGTCTGATGGAAAAAAAGTCCAGCATAAATATTTTGTGAAACCATCAGGTCACAACACGCTGTCTTTGTATTAGGAATCCTTGCACAGTTGGGAGAAAGAGAAAGAGTCACTATAGTATTTGTCGCTTTGAGTTGAGAGCTGATTGGCTGAGTGAGAGTGGTCCTCTCTGATCTGAAGATATGACTGTGGCCAAAAATACATCCACTTGAAAACTACTTAAATCTGTTAATACTGCAAGAAACTACATGGATTGGTTTACATATTTCATTGTCTGGGTGTTTAAAGTTAGGTACTGTGGCTCTAATTTTTTTAAAGAAATCATTTTTGATCCGTGTCCGAATGTCCAAAAACGATTAATAACCATCAAAACCTAATCATATTATCAATTAGATTGTTTATGTCTATATATTGGGAGGTCAACCGTAACATACAATTAACCTGCATGTATAAAGTGGTTATTCCAGGCATTGTGTTTTTTTTTTGTAATCCTTTACTAGTTAGTGTGCTAAAAAAGAGCTTCCACACATTGTTACAGGGTTATTGCATCACGGCTGTATCCACCTCGTACAGTAAGAGCAGGAAGAGCTCCCACACGCTGTCGCTCTAGGAATCAGCCCGCCCTTTTTATTTCGTAGCTATTTTAGATTCTTGTTCAGGGATTTCAGGGTGACCATCATGGCTGACATCACAGCAGCCTGAAATATGTTCAGAACGTGTAGGAATGGTCTGAACGCATTAGAAATAACATGTAAAAAACAACTTTTCACAGATTTGACCGTTAAAACTGTTTTCCTTTGCTGTATTACTCCTGCATGTTTGACTTCAAAACATTTACCTGAAGCCTAAAGGCATTTGCTCTCCCCTGGCTCCTCTAACCACCATGAAGAGTGTTTTCTTTTCTTTTCCAAAAAACAAAACAATCATAAAAACTAGGGCTGCATGATATATCGAAAAAATATCGTTATCACATTATTGGTGCGCCTGATATCCCAATCAAAAAGATAAGCGTTTAAAAAAAATTTATATATATATAAACTGTATATATTTTCCTTTATTAAAGACAACAAAACAGACAACATTCAACAAGAACAACAAACAAACAAACAAAAAGTATATAAAGTATATAAATATAAGCATTTGAAGGTCTTTAATGTGCTTTTTTTGTTTTTTATCTCTTGCGTTTCAATGCAGATCGCAATTTTAGGTGAAACACAAAAACACCAATAATATCGTTATCTCAATACTAAACACTCATATTGAATAATGCTCTAATTTCCAATATCGTGCAGCCCGAATAAAAACCCACGTACACATTGTGGACAGTTCCATAATATGCCATGTCCTCCACAAATAGGAGAATGGAGTCTTTAGATCAGCGTTCAACAGAGAGAGAGGCCTATAGGCAAGGCAAGTCTGTTTGTATACCACAGTATACCACAGTGCTTAACAAAAACATAAATTAAATATTAAAATCATATATTAGATTCTTATTTTACTTATTGTGATTTATATCTTTAAAAAAATCTGGTGTCTAGGTTTTTGTGAATAATGTCAAATAATAAAAATGATCCCAACATTTTCCTGTTATTTTCAGGGTGATGCATGGCTGATTTTTGTATTCTTTTTTGTATTTCTAGTCCAAGGTTAATTTGGTCTTCTGATAGATTCTAGTTGATTATTTTCTTTAAGACCAGGGCGCGCAGCCCTCCTCAGACAGGTCACGTGATGTTGCTGTGACATGTGTGTCTTATCAGCTGTTTTACACTGCTTTTGCAGTCCGACTTCTTCAGGGCAAAATCCTAGGTGTGTGGGATTAAAAAAGCCCCTTCTTCCTGGTTTATAGTCCTGGGGGCACTTTTCCAATTCTTTTCCCTCTTTGATCCAGCGTCAATGTTTGTTGTCCTCAATCCCTATGATATTTGCTTCGTCCAAATCCATATTATGGTTCTGTCTTTGACAGTGGTTGGATATTGCCAATTTGAGTTGCTCTTGTTCTGCTCCATGTTTTGTACGCTGGATCAAAGAGGCACTCGAAGTACGCAAACGTGCCCCCAGGACTATAAACCAGGACAGGAGGGCTTTTTAACTCTCTCACACCTGGGATTCTGTCCTGAAGAGGTCGGACTGCAGATGGCGCTGTTGTCCTGCCTCTGGAGGTAGGAAGACGGCGAGTAAAACCAATAATAAAACACACAGGTCACAGGAGATTCCGCTCCACCATTTAAACTGCCAGGTACAAAAAAAACAATCTGCTCTTTTAGTAATGAAAATAAAAAGAAACAACTTGAAGAACTTTGTTTACTGTTCAAAGAAAAAACAGCTGGTTGCCAACTTTCTCTGTGTTTGGAGGGGAAGGGTGCAGACTTTTTGCAGATTGTTTTGTTTTCAGTATTGAGGTGACTCTGGCAATCATACAACAATGTTCTTTATAAATTCTTTAGAAAACAATCCCAATCTCTACAACAGCCAGTAGTAATAAAAACAGGATAGCCGTGCATGTCTGAACGCGCCCCACTTTAGCTTCCCATGGTACTTCAGATTGATGACCCCCCAATCCTGTCATGCAGCTTTCATCCATTTTGACAAGCTTATTAAAACCGGCATTCACACACACACAGCACTTTCCTTACACTTCTTATCACCAAAATAATCCTCTTCTATCTCGTCTTGTTTTCAAAGACCTGTCTCTTTTCTGCCTGTCAACTGTTCAGAGGGAACTATTAGATGGATGCGCATATGGAGCTGGTTAATCACTGTCAGCGCATGTGTATGGATGTCGGAAATACAGAAAAAGAAGTACGGAAGAAGAATGGGAAGGCTACGCAGCAAGAAAACCGCTTTCAACAAAGACCTAAAAATAGTAGGAATAGGCCCATGTGACATATTCAGGCTAAAAGCTTGTGAATAATTTGTCTAATGCAACACATAGCCTCCATGAATGCGCTCACGAGAACACAGTTCACTACCTCTGCAGGAGAAGGCTGGTCCACTGTCGGTCTTGTCTCTACTACAATTATTTTGAAACGCTTCTGTGCATAAAGATCCACAACCGAGGTCAATAGGCTGTTTTCAGGGATGGAAAGCAACTCTATACTGTCAGTAAGTACTAAAGTAACTACCGTTGAGTTTATCTGTAACATGTTAATTAAAGAATTGCAACTAATCGATTATTGAAATGGTTGTGAATCCTTTAAGTTAGTTAGTTTTAGTTTTATTTCTCTGATAATTCTATAATGACTGCAAAAATAAATGAAAATGTATTTAAATGTTTTTTTATTTTTATTTTTTATTTTTTATAAAACAACCCATTTAGTTTGTGGAACCTCTCAGTCGTACAGGGATTAGTCAAAGCAAAGGAAGGGTTTTCACTCATCATCTGTACTTCTTAGCAGGTTTTCCCACCGTTTCGTCCTTAATCCGAAGAACTTTTTCACTAAATACATGTACAATAGGTTTGGCATGCATCCTGTATGGCAACCCAATGTTTGAGTCATTTTTATAAAGATATTCTCTTTTTGTCAGAGATTAAATACCTGGTAAGACCCGGAGCACATTGCTAACCTTAGCTGTTAAAGCATCTACTTCGGGACAAAGAATAAAAAGAAGTCCATAAACGTTCAACTGCTACTTGGTTCAGTGTTTGTTTGGAGTACTTGACTCCAGGGGCCTTTTCCAACAGGCATTTGCAGGGGCTGCTCAATCAAGACCCTGCTCTCTCTGGTTGCCATGGTAACAAAAAGATACAACAATGCAATTGAAAAAAGTCCTTATGCACTTTGTATCTCACTGCATTGAAAATGTAGCCAAATGCTATATTTAGTATTGCTCAAGAAAAATTGCGTACCGCTTTTTGCTTGGGTTCATCTAAATGTTTTTGATTGGCCTGCTTTATTATACAGTTTGTCATTAAATGTTGGAAATTAGATACAAACATCACTTCATTCGAGAGGCTTCTCAGTGCTTCATGCCAAACTGAGCCACATTTCAAGCTAAGCAATAACGTACCTAACTCATGAAGCAGTTTAGTTTAGTTTATTATTGTTTGTCGCATACACATCACATGCAGTGAAATTCTTGTGTACGTCCAGCAGATGTTCAGCACAGTATTTGGAACGCAGAATAACACAGAAACACAGAGACAGATAACTGGTTAGCGCTTGTTCTTCACAGTAAGAAGGTCCTGCTTCGATTCCACATCCAGACAGGGCCTTTCTGTGTGGAGTTGCATGTTCTCCCAAGGTCCTATCTTTAAAAATACGTACAATAGGTTTGGCATGCATCTTGTATGGCAACCCGCTTCCATCACCGTGTGGAGTGAGAGGAAAAATAATCCCCTTTCTGTGACTGTAAAAGGTGCTATACAAATAAAGATTACTTTCCTACTGGATTGCTCACTGTTATGTAACTTTCCTTATCTATTCTTTCTCGTCTGTGAAAGGAAAATTGAGTCTCATGTTTAACTGTTCTTATCATGGCCGTCGGGCTGGAAGTTCAAATGAAAGAAGACACCTGTTGTGTACAGTATGTTTGGGTTACAGTGTATTGTTGTTGTTGTACTTTGTTAAAGCAAGCAAGTTTGGCAATTCGAATCATCACATTTCGCTCTTGAAATTACAGCTTAATCATTAAAATAGTTAAACTTAATTGGTTGTCAGCGGACTGATATGTAACTGCAGCATTATGTGTAAATAAACGTATTTTTAATCAAACATACATTTTGCTTTAATTGTCTCTATGAGAATGTACTTTTGCTATTTTTTTTGGCTTATTATCTTAGGAAAAAGTCATTATTATTATTGAAAGCTATCAATGTAATGCTGCCGTTGCGTCCTTGAGCATGAAACTTGACCCGCCCCACCCCCAGTGACAGTGCAGACTGCTGTATGAATGATAAAGCAGCATGTTGTGTCTGATTATGTTACTTTTACAATACTTTCTGTTGGTACAAACAAAAGGTAGAATTTATTTAGAAAGAAGCCTCTTGTTCACATTCATTATTACCGTAATTACTGGTCTATAAAACGCTACTTTTTTCTAGTTTTTGATCCCTGTGGCTTATATAGCGATGTGTATTTTTGTATTGTGTATATTCTATTGTGGTAGAGTTCTTAGAGCAGAGTTTATGGCTACAGGCTACAGGACACTTGTATGGTGTAGGTGAACTGGAAAGGATGAAGGTGAAAGACTCATGGAAGCTAATGGTGAAGCGCCATTAAATCAGGTTGTGAGGAGTTAAAGTCATTTATCTGCTTCATTTCATACAACATGAACACCTGCGGCTTATATTCAGGTGCGGCCTATATGTGGACAGAATTGATTTTCTTTCATAACGTAGGTGGTGTGGCTTATATACAGGTGCGGCTTATATGTGGACCAAATTGATTTTTTTTTTTTTTTAAAGTGTAGGTGGTGCAGCTTATAGTCCAGAAATTACGGTCTAGTAAAATAGCGGCAATAGCACTTCTGTTGAATGCAGTATAGACATGCCCCATCTCCATCTTCCTCCTCTGCTCTTCTTCCATTGACGCAAACGCTCTTCTATTCATAGCAGCGGTGTGGATAGAAATAAAGACCTATTAAGGAAGATGGAACGTGTGTTTTCATTTGCGCGCGGTGCTCTCCACATCACAAGTGCGTTTTTAATGGCTGTGAAATGAGGGCCTCGGCGCGGCTCTCGGTGACACTTGTGCAGACACATTGTTCCGCATTGTAAGCTCTGTTGTTTTGTATGCCGGGCACAGCTGTTGCACCACACCGGGCCTGATCACCTTTGCTTCACAACATGACTCCGGGATCTGCCTGGCCGCGTTATTATGTTACACATTCGGCAAACAGACCTTTTGCAAACGGGCTATCGATTGTGCCATGAGCAGAGAAGATTAGCTGCCAGCCACAGAGAAAAGTTCAGGGCCTGTTGAAAAGTCTGAAAACTAGATCCTCCTCTCAAAGTTTGCAGAAAGTTAATCTACAAATGAAAAGTCAAAGTGACATACTGTATGGGTTGTTGTGGCACTTGGAATGGCTATGATAAAAAGAAAATGTGATAAAAAGCTAAACTGACTTTCACTTTTCACAGCTTAGTAGAATAGTTCTAGTTCTCCCTTGTTATTTCAGAGTGATTCATACATAATTGATTTGCTGGGAAAATATTGTTTTGATTAATCTATTTGTTTAAATCTGTTGAAATAGGAAGGGTTTTTTAATTACAATATGAGCAAAGAAAAATTTTAATTTGTGATCCGAGAGTTTGGATTGGTCATGTCACTCATGCTAGTAAAGATTGTGATTTCCCATTGAAATGAACGAGTCTGAGAAGGTGTCTCCAGAAGTGAAATTAAAATCAATTTTTTTGAGGGCGCGCTACTGTGCTGCTCAAAGGGCTTTACAAAACAAGAAAACATTAAAATACAATATAAATAATCACAAAACTTTGCGTGTTTTTGATCCACTTTTGAAAATTGCCTCACATTCATTCAAATTTATTTTTGCCTTTTGGTTTTCATATTGTGGTGCAAATTACCCTCTCACAATGTAATGCTATGATGCAATTGTACTTCACTTCTAATCTATCGGGGGAATTGCACAAAGGGAAGCAAACGGTTGGAATTTAATAAAGCAATTGATCTAATCTCGAGTAAAGGCAACACTCCATAGAAAGCCTGAGCTAATTGAAAACATTATAGCGGGATTTTTTAGGTCCTTTTTTTGTACGCGGAGGTGGAAGCAGACAGAATGCAGGTGGATGTTTAGGGCGAGCGATAAGAAGTGCCCTGGTTGACGGAACACCTGATAAGCCACAGGACGGACTGGTCTGGCCGGCCGGTGACGAGGCAAAATGGAGCATGGTATTGGGCAAGCAAGCGAGGGCAGTCAAGCTGATCAAGGTTAAACGCAATAAAGACACAGAGGGAAATTATAAGAGCATAATTTAGGAGTGGAACCTTGCTATTAAAATTCTGAAACCGAGACAGACTATTGTGTGTAGTGGAGCGTAGATAGCTCTTAAAGTATTCAACATATTCTACTAGGCACTAAATGAAGCCATTGAAGGTTGCTGTTTAAATAGTAGATCTATTGAAATGGAAGTAGTATTTTTCCTACTGGGCTCTGGTACTTTTTGAGATGTAATTGCTTCGCTCGGAATGTTCCTCAGTGTGGTATTGAGGAATGTATGAATACAGATGTTTTTAATGTTCAAAAACCTGTATTCAGCTCGCCTCTCCACAGAGATTTCAGCTGCTTTGTTTATATTGATTTTCTTGCATTACAGTATACAATTAGACACCGACAGGGCAAAACATTGATCTATTGTCAGAAGAAATACAAAGAATAACAGGTCTGTACTGTTGGCTGTTTAAAAAAAAATTTCTCAGAATATCATAACAGATGCAGTATTGTGTTTGTTTACAAAGTCAATAGAGAAAGAGTTGGCATTACCAAGACAAGTTTCATACATATTTTTTTAACAGCCACAGAGACACTTCAGCTTGACCACAATCATTATTTATATTGATTTATGGTTCAATAATTGATGTAGGATCGAGGAAGGCCTGTTTGTGGCAATAGAATGTATGCTTTAGGGGATTGAAAAAGTCACTTATGGTTTATTAATTGAAAACATAATAAACAGTTCAATAAACTAATTCAAAGTGGCGGCAACTGAGCTAAATTCTGTGTTTTTAGATTTTCTATTTGAGAAAAAAAGATGGGAATAAAAGACTGAAGTGATTTGTATTAACTGGGTAAGCTAACGTGCTAACATTTGGCTGCTGCTTTGTTATAAAGACATGTCAACAAGTTCAAACAAAGAGATGTCAAAGGTCTAGCTTTAGCCTAGACCCGAAAGTGCAGAGTTTTATTACTTGACAGCCCCAATATAAGTTTTAAAGGTGATGTGATGATGATTTCAAATGGCTTGAGGGGCTATTGGAATATCTCGCATGTAGCATAGCATAGCATAGCATAGCATAGTTCTAATATACATACTTTCCAATCTTGGACTTTTTTGTGATTGGATTGCAAACTGTAATCATTGCCCAGCACTAACCACAACACATCTCTGCAGCCACATATAGTCAATCAGTTTTTAGTAAATTTGTCTAATCGGTTCCATGTCTTTTGGCAGGTAAGCCGCAGAACGTGGAGAGCTCGGAGCGTGTGCAGCTGTCTGGCACATACAACGTTCGCAAGGGGAAGCTCCAGCTGCCCGTGAACCGCTGGACCAGGAGACAGGTCATCTTATGCGGCACCTGTCTCATCGTCTCCTCGGTGAAGGAGAGCCAGACGGGCAAGATGCACGTCCTGCCACTCATCGGAGGGAAGGTACGTCTGAGTCACAGGGAGCACCGCACACACGGACTAGAGCTGAATCCCAAGCAGATATTTTTATGATCCCGCGTTTTATGATTTGGGCTGTAAATCTCCTAATGCTAAAGTCCCTCTTATTACCGCTCGCAAACACACTGAATTGAAAAATGTGTTCTTTTCACCTTGAAGGGTTGTTTATTGTTCCCTGTGAATTTTAGCTCAAGGTGAAGCGGAAATGGTATGCCTGGAGTTGGGTAATCAATGTTATTTCCGCAACTGATAGCATTATGCAAGCTTACCAACCTACAAACAACTTATACGAGAATGAAGATGGAGTATCTAACTTTAAACCCACAAAAAATAACCATAATATAATCCATGTCACTCAAAACTGTTTGGTTCTAGTTTTCACATGCATGTATTTTTGGCTTCTGTCACATATTTAGACTTTATTAGTAAAAAAGAAAATACCAGCTCCCAAGATTTAAAATAAAGACGGCATGTTGTGGTCTGCCTCTTTCTGTAAACAAAATGTAATTCTTAATCAGGTCATGGGTTAAGGGGCGTTCACACCGGACTTAACTTCGGCGTCAAAAGCGTCAGGTTTCCATTGAAAGTGAATGGTGAAGCGCGTCAGGTGAAGCCGAGAGCCCCGGCGTCACTTGACGCGCGTCAAAAGCTTCAAGAGTCGCGCGTACTACGCGCTCACTTGAAGCTTTTGACGCGCGAAACGCTCGCGTATCACAACAATCCCTTTGACGCCGAAGCTGAGCAAAGCTGAGCTTTTGAAGCTTTGACGCGGGCTTCAACCAATCAGGAGACGAGGAGCAGCAGCAGCAGAGGGTCTGTCTCTGTCATGAAGAGAAGTCATGTATCTGCTGCTGCTGTTTTATTGTCATTATTGTTATTAGTAATATTATTTGTATGAGTAGTAACGTTCTGAGTAACAAAAATCATTGTACACATGCTGTGTAGTAAACGTAGTTTATTTAAAATAAGAACAGGCTGACGATGAGTCTGGCTCAGAGCAAGGCAGCTCCGGGCGGGCGAGAGCCGGGGAGAGGCAGGGAGAGGCGAGCGAGAGCCGATGAGAGGCAGGGAGAGGCGAGCAAGAGCCGGGGAGAGGCTGGGAGAGGCGAGCGAGAGCCGGGGAGAGGCAGGGAGAGGCGAGAGCGAGGCGGGGAGAGGCGAGCTCCGGGGTTTGAGAACTCAAGACTGGGCAAGTGACATGCGGAAGTGCCGCTGAAAGCGAAACTCCTCCGTACGCAGCTCCTGGAGTAAATGACGGAACTCTGCAAACACTGCAGCCTCTCAAGTCTGTGGTGAACCCAGAACATGTTTTGTTGAAGCCCTACAACAACGTTATTTTGCTTTATATAACAAATCAAGGCTCGCTGCTCATTGAAAAATCCACCGCTGTCCTAACTACAGACAACAGAGAAGCTCCTCCCACCGGCGTCAGGCGCGTCACTCGCGTCAAAAGCTTCAAGCACCAAAATGACAAAACTATCCCGGCGTCAGTTGAAGCGCGTCAAAAGCTTTTTGAAGCTTTTGGTCTGAACGCGCCTTTAGAGTTATGAACAGTTTGTGTGGTTAGGGTTAGACTAGGGTGACAATTTAACACACACATTACTGGAAATGAAGTTTTTAACACAGTTCTTACAAAACTGGTACAAAACCACAGTTGACACACATTACTGGAAAAGGCCTTATCCTGGTTAAGGATAGGTATAATCATAACAAAGCTTTGGGTAAGGTTTTTGATATATGCACACGGCCGTACCATATTCTACCAATTGAAATATATTCAATCCACCAATCTCTCAGCTGCGTCAGAATACTGCAAAATGACCTTTACCTGTTTATTGCTTTATGGATCCGTCGATCTGCCAAGGCCACTGAATTACCTCTAAGGGCGCTTGTTTAAAGCCCTCACCATTATTTGCCTCGATTGACACTCCATTTCCCATCACACCCTTATTCCCTTCGCTTTATTTCATGAACACTGTGGCCTCCAGTGAACTACACAGCCATGAAGTGCAGCACTCTAATGTTCTTCGGAATTAATGTATTTAGAAAAAACTGCATCTAATCTAAGCATTCATTTGCCATGTATGATCTAATATGTGCTGTAGTCCTTTTTGAATTAGCTGTTTGATTCACCGCTGATGGATGGTGTGTAATTATGCTTCAATAATATGTGTATGTAAGCCCTGCAGCTAGTACTGAGACATCCATATTCCATAAATCCATTACATTGATGACATAGTTTGTATGAGATGCTAATTTCATAAATCCAGACCCTGAAATTGTAAACTACATTTGCCTTTGTAACGATGGGCTAACTCAGCATGTTGCTCTGTAATGACGACACATATCAGTGGTATAAACAAACGGGGTGCTTGCGCAAGTCTTGAAAGTCATAATAATTATGGAATTTTGAAACACTGTTTTTCAGACCTTGAAAAGTCTTGATTTTTGTGTGAAAGTCTTAATTAATTATGGGGAAAAAAGTTCATTTAATACTATAATAAATTAACATTTCTAATAAACACAGTTGGTACCATCTCAACCAATGAAGTAGGCAGTAGGCACACAAGTATACAAGTACATAAAGTTTAGGTCTGGGGGGGGAAAAATATCAGTTATAAAAAAAGTCTGGAATATTAATTTGGAAATTCTTTTAGTAGCTGAGTCATTGTTGGAGAAAATATAGAATGAATTTCAATCATGCAAAGTTCAAAGTGCAAATATTCTTTCTGAATGCTATGGGTGCTGCAAAACCTTGAATCACTAACAATATTAGTAGTATAATTATGATCCATGCTAAATCTCATCTCATGCCTTGGATGTCCACACTTCTTTCCATTGAGACCAACAGAAAAAGAAAAGAACACAAAATACTGTCTTCATAAAAAACATGTTTTCTTTTGCATACAGTATATTTTGTGAGCGCTGATTGGCTGTGTGAGGGTTGTACCAGCTCTAACTTTTCTGCCCACTAGTGTAAGAAGTTATAGCCAAACCGTTTTGAGCGCAAATAAACTAATTATACTGATATTATTATAGAGACATTTGTTATGGTTTAAAATACAGGTACAGTGGCTTTAAGGCTTATGGAAGATTATTATTTGATCAGTACAACAATGCAGTGTTTGCAAAAGCTAACTGTATATGTTTTATTTGTTGCAGCAAGTCACGTACATGTCAAACACTCATGCAGGCTTTAAGTTGTTTGTGGTCGACTGGACGTGTTTATCCTGTAGCCTGTAGTCACTATTGAGACATCCATGTGTCAAGCGTTTTCGGTTTCTCAGCTGTAGTTTTCCTCTGAGCCGGAGAAGTTACATTTCACGCTCTGATGTCCATTGTGTGCGTCTGTGTGTGTGTGTGTGTGTGTGTGTGTGTGTGTGTACGTGTGTGTCTGCAGGTGGAGGAGGTGAAGAAGCACAGCCACTGCTTGGCCTTCAGCTCGGCCGGACCCCAGAGTCAAACCTACTACGTTAGTTTCGACAGCTTCACGGAGCACCTGCGCTGGCACCGTCACGCAGCCAAGGTATTGTGTGTGTGTTCTCGAATAGGAGAAGGCATTTTCTCCCCTAGCGCCACTCACGGGTCAGCTGCATTGTGCATCAAAACACGCATGAGTGCAAGTATGATAAATATGTGCCACTGAATGGAATTTCACTGCTTGTCCAGGTTGGGTTCACGTGGCATTGCAATGTTCTGTGCTTTCGTTTGTTTTTCTTGTTTTGTACAGAGCTTTGTGGTGTTTTTGTGCTATACGAATAACCTGCCTCTAAATAAGCCAATTGGTTTTGAATTGAGCAAGCCGCAACCGAGTTTTATGCAATCCTTTCTGGTTGGATTTAAAAAGAAAAAAGTAATTTCAGCGTAACCCCAGGGTGTGTCAATCCTGGGTTAAGGTTCAAAGATATTCAATTAGATGTATCCAAATTTAAGGATTTCAAAACTTGACATTGCTCAAAGTCTGTCAAAGAAAATCAGGTCCAACGTAAAATATATATCATACCAGAGGAAATTCATTCAACCAGAATATTAAGGGTTTAAAACATGAAGAATACAGGAAATCTCATGACACATACAAATATCATTTAGCAGCATTAAGTAGATAAATAGACACTTTATTGACGCACAAAATTACTCTGTTGCCACATCCTATTACATTGGTGATTTTACGCATACTCTATAGTAATATTACATTTAATTATATGTATTAAGCAGTCTTAAAGTGCCGCTCATACAAACAGACGAACACAGCAATACCACTATAAGGGTTAAAACACACAAAGTCAATATTACCCAACAAGCTGCAGAGAGTTCAGCAGACTAATAGCTGTTGGGACAAAGGATTTTAAGTGATGGTTTAAGGGCATTAAATTTGGGAGATTAAATATTGGGCCACGCCACATTGCCTGCGCTCTGAAGTGTAACCTCACTTTAACCTTGTTTATGGCTAACATCCGTGTTGTAAATATAGGTCAGTCTACATCAAGTATAATTGTATGCATGTAGACCTTTCCAGTGCATGCTTGTCCTTCAATCCATCCTGCAAATTAATACATGCAATATAGGTTGTTTGTTATAAATGCATACACAATTCACAAAGTGCACCCTTAATGTCAACCACACTCACACAAAAGTTTTTAATTCAAATAAATGCTGAGTAAATTGCATGACATCATATTATCGTGCACAATGTCTTTGCTGACTAGACATAACACCGTGTAGTGGTTCACTTTGCTGTTTTGAATCCCTCCCAGCAAAGACTTGACTCTCTCCTTTCTGCTGAAGTAGGCCATTGCCAGAAAACCTCCTTACTAAATATTAACAGGGACACGCATGTCACTCGCACCCAGAGGGCCACTCAGAATAGCAGGCTGTGTAGAAGCAGCACGTGCAGCCTCCAGCCCCTGACACTGTCACTTATGTCTCTACATGAGATGGACAGACAAGACGTCCCACTTGTATTGCCCACTTCTGTAAATGTGAGAACGTTTTTAGCGGTTCTTTACCTTCTTCACAATGTTTAAATATATTCAGCCTCATTTAGGAACTTATGTAGTGATAGTGATACTCCTGTGGGCCCACCACCTGCAGAGGGGTCCGTGGTGGCGAGGTGCAGCGAGGACTGGGCAGCAGTCGAAGGCAGAGACCTCGACGACCCAGTCCACACACCCAACATCTGGCTCTTGGGACGTGGAACGTCACCTCACTGGGGGGGAAGGAGCCCGAGCTTGTGGGGGAGGTTGAGCGATACCGACTAGAGATAGTCGGCCTCACCTCCACACACAGCTTGGGCTCTGGAACCCAACTGCTTGAGAGGGGTTGGACGCTCCACTTTTCTGGTGTTTCCCGCGGGGAGAGGCGGCGAGCTGGGGTGGCCATACTCATTGCCCCCCATCTCAGCCACCACGTGTTGGAGTTCTCCCCGCTGAATGAGAGGGTCGCGTCCCTCCGCCTCCGGGTGGGGGACAAGTCTCTCACTGTTGTGACGGCCTACGGGCCTAACGGCAGTGCAGAGTACCCGGCCTTCTTGGAGTCCTTGGGAGGGGTACTGGACAGTGCACCGCCCGGGGACTCCGTTATTCTCCTGGGGGACTTCAACGCCCATGTGGGAAACGCCAGTGACACTTGGAGAGGGGTGATCGGGAAGAACGGCCCCCCTGATCTGAACCCGAGCGGTGTTCAGTTGTTGGACTTCTGTGCCAGTCACGGCCTGTCCATCACGAACACCATGTTCGAGCACAAGGGTGTCCACCAGTGCACGTGGCACCAGGACGCCCTAGGCCGGAGGTCGATGATCGACTTTGTTGTCGTATCATCTGACCTTCGACCGCGTGTCTCGGACACTCAGGAAGAGAGGGGCGGAGCTGTCAACCGATCATCACCTGGTCGTGAGTTGGATCCGCTGGCAGGGCAGGAGGCCGGTCAGACCTGGCAGGCCCAAGCGTGTAGTGAGGGTTTGCTGGGAACGTCTCGTTGAGCCCCCTGTCAGACGGACTTTCAACTCACACCTCCGGGAGAGCTTCTCCCAGGTCTCGGCAGAGGAGGGGGACATCGAGTCCGAGTGGACCATGTTCTCTTCCTCTATCGCCAATGCGGCGGCTCGTAGCTGTGGTCGCAAGGTCTCTGGTGCTGGTCCCGGCGGCAATCCCCGAACCCGGTGGTGGACACCGGCAGTAAAGGATGCCGTCAGGCTGAAGAAGGAGTCCTATCGAGCAATGATGGTTCGTGGGACTCCGGAGACAGCTGTCCAGTAACGGCAGGCCAAGCGTGCCGCGGCCCGGGCTGTTGCAGAGGCAAAAACCCAGGACTGGGAGGAGTTCGGAGAGTCCATGGAGCATGACTATCGGTCGGCCTCGAGGAGGTTCTGGCAAACCGTCCGGCGCCTCAGGAGGGGGAAGCAGTTATTTGCCAACACTGTGTATGGTGCGGGTGGACGGCTGCTGACCTCGACTGGGGATATTGTCGGGCGGTAGAAGGAATACTTCAAGGTTCTCCTCAATCCCTCCGTCACGTCCTCCGTCCAGGAGGCTGAGGATGTTGGGGCGGATACTTCCATCTCCCTGGCCGAGGTCACCAAGGTGGTTGGCAGCCTCCATGGTGGCAAGGCGCCGGGAGTGGATGAGATCCGTCCTGACTATCTAAAGCAGGGGTGCTCAATACGTCGATCGCGATCTACCAGTCGATCGCAAAGGTAGTATTGGTAGATCGCATTAAATAAATAAAAAATTACACATTCTAAACGAATATATACAAAAAACTCCGGGCAAAGTGGAGATTTTTGAAAACTCCATTAATGCATTTGTGTGTAGACAGAGATAACCGGAGTTTTGCGTTCTCGCACGCCAAAGTACCCCCCTAAATTCCTCTGATCACTGAAGCATGGATCATACTACCTTAAAAACTGTTCGCTGTGAGATGCTCGCAGCAGCAAACATCCTCCACATCAGAGAGCAACAAAGTGATCGCGGGGACTCACGCTCGAAAACAACTAAACCAGGACTAAACCAGGACTAAACCAGGGCTGAGGACGGGGTCAGTGCTTGTAAACATACGTCTTTACTCTGAGGCCCAGTCCCAATACCCACACTGCACCCTACGCCCTCCTATGAAGTGTGCATTTGTTTGAAGTGCGCGCAAGGGTTTGAGTGCGCAGGTTGCAAGCGTGCACAAAAGGTGGAATTGGGACATTGCACACTGAGTGCAGTTTACGTCATCGACTCGTCAAGAGATGGTCATTTTAAGACCTAAACTTTATAAAAATTAAAGGTAATTTTGTCTGACCCTTTGGGAAACAATATGAATTGCTTCACACACGTTATAATACATTTATATTAGTTGTTTTTAATTAGAGATAGCGGTATAATTTTAAGTTAAATGTGGGTAACTAACTATCTGGTCAGTTTTTATACATTCTAAGATTATTGTACTAAGTGTAAAGTTTAAATTGAATGTTATAGAAACGCTTGCTTTAAAAAGTTATTAAATTGTTAAAAACACAATGTCCGTAATTCTTCATCAGACGTTTATGCTTCTTTCCAAGTAACATAGCAAAACTTATTTACACACATACTGCATATATATTTCAAAATGTATATTTAATTGCATTTTCCCGTCGTTTTGGTGTCCCGTCGCAAAGAATTATGGGCAATATCCTTCGCCAGAGTGTGCATAGATGCAGGCTACGGCGAAGTGTGGATCAGGGGCGCAAAGGGGGCGGGGCCAAAGACCTCCCTGGAGAATTGGGACACCCTACGCACTCGCACACTTTATCGGGAACGCGCAAATGAGGGGCGCGAGGGTGGAAGTGCGAGTATTGGGACGGGGCCTGAGTGTCTTCTATGACTGTAAAAGTGCCGTTACCGGCGTCTGCATCAAAGCTCCGCCCACTTCTGTGTTTTTCCCCAACGCAGGACAGGACGTAAGAGACGCACATGTTTGGAATGTTACGAATGTGATTGATAACACAGATGTGTGGATGCAAATTATTTTATAAACTGAGGAGGGGAAATATTTGGATTAAAAAAAACCAGGCATGGCACATGGACATGGCACCACAGTCAAATGACATCTGTGTTTTACTCAGTAATGTTTTACTGACACTTAGGTGACTGCACATGCGCAAACAACCGCGCTCAGTGCAGGAAAGCTAAACAACGACAAACTTGTCAGGGAGTTACCACCAATTTTCCGGACTATGCCTCCCTGGCCGATTCAATTCAGTGCAAGTCATCAGAGTAAACTCGGGTAATGACAAAAAATGAACATAGGTAATTGTGTTGTGTTGTGCTATATTGGCTCATGCGGTTTTGCATGTACATAAACATACATTGTAGGTATAAAGAATATTTTTTGAAATAAATATGTGATTTGCATTTTTGTAGTAGGTAGATCATTTTGACTTGATCCTTTTATAAGTAGCTCGCATGCTGAAAAAGTGTGAGCACCCCTGATCTAAAGTCTCTGGATGTTGTAGGACTGTCTTGGCTGACACGTCTCTACAACATCGCGTGGCGATCGGGGGCGGTGCCAATGGAGTGGCAAGAAGGGGGAGCGGAGGGTGTGTTCCAATTATCGTGGGATCACACTCCTCAGCCTCCCCGGTAAGGTCTACTCCAAGGTACTAGAGAGGAGGCTACGGCCGATGGTCGAATCTCGGATTCAGGAGGAGCAGTGTGGTTTTCGTCCCGGTCGCGGAACACTGGACCAGCTCTATACTCTCCATCGGATACTCGAGGGTTCATGGGAGTTCGCCCAACCTGTCCACATGTGCTTTGTGGATTTGGAGAAGGCGTTCGACCGTGTTCCCCGGGGTGTCCTTTGGGGGGTCCTCCGGGAGTACGGGGTCCTCTGCTGAGGGCCGTCCGGTCCCTGTATGACCGGAGTCAGAGCTGTGTTCGCATTGCCGGCAGAAAGTCAGACCTGTTCCCGGTGCATGTTGGCCTCCGCCAAGGCTGCCCTTTGTCACCGGTTCTGTTCACTGTATTTATGGACAGAATTTCTAGGCGCAGCCAGGGGCCGGAGGGGGTCCGGTTCGGGGACCACAGGATTTCATCTCTACTTTTTGCGGATGATGTCGTCCTGCTGGCTCCAACGAACCAGGACCTGCAGCATTCACTGGGACGGTTTGCAGCCGAGTGTGAAGCGGCTGGGATGAGAATCAGCACCTCCAAATCCGAGGCCATGGTGCTCGACCGGAAAAAGGTGCCATGCCCTCTCCAGGTGGGTGGAGGAGTTCAAGTATCTCGGGGTCTTGTTCACGAGTGAGGGAAGGATGGAGCGTGAGATTGACAGGCGGATCGGTGCAGCGTGCGCAGTGATGCGGTCTCTGTATCGGACCGTTGTGGTAAAGAGGGAGCTGAGCCGAAAGGCGAAGCTCTCGGTTTACCGGTCAATCTTCGTTCCCTCCCTCACCTATGGTCATGAGCTGTGGATAATGACCGAAAGAACGAGATCGCGGATACAAGCGGTCGAAATGAGCTTCCTCCGCAGAGTGGCTGGGCGCTCCCTTAGAGATTGCTGCCCCCGCGACCCGGCAACGGATAAAGCGGAAGAAAATGGATGGATGTAGTGATAGGACATGGTTCAAGTTCTGGTCAGACTGATTCACTTCCCCTGGGCCGAGTTTAGTTCACATGGGAAAAATGCTAATGTTAAAGTGTTTAAACTAGCTTAAAGGTATATAGGAGGATTTTCTACTTCCCGATGGATCATCAAGATTATTGATCCTCCCAATTGACAATCATTCTGGTCAAATGTGCTCATTCAAAGTGGAGGGGGGCGGTTCTTTTGTGAAATGTTTTTGAAAATCCTTCCATATACTTTTAAGGTGTTGCTGGTTGTACAGTACATCCTCAATGAAGACTTTTTTGCCCCAAGGGAACCAGAATAAGAGTCCAGTTAAGTGAACAAGACTGTGTAAATGTACCCATAGTATTTATAGATAGAAAACGTGGATTACTACTTTTTCTCACTAAGCCTTTCACTGCTTTCCACAATAACTATGCATACATTGTATCTTACAGTTTTAGCGTTTAGTATAATTGATGATTGATGGCATTTACTTCATATCCATTCATGTTTAAATATACACTGTGGAACCTTCCCACCTGTCCGCACATGTCAAAGGTGTATCTGAGAAGCACCAACTTTCCTCTCCCTGTGTAATCCTAAGGAGATTGGCCATTACCTGACATTTGAACCTTCAGTGGCAGGGTACACACAACAGCAGCTAAGCCCCCCGCGCTGGGGATAATCCTGTTTAAAGCCACGCTCTCTTTGTCTTTGCTGTCACCTCAACACTCGTCTCATTTTCCCTTATCCTCTGTGCTTCTTCATTTAGATGGTCTCCCAGAGGATCAACTCTGTGGATCTGTCCTACTGCAGCCTGGAGCAGCTCCCCCCCAATTTGTTCTACAGCCACGACCTGACGCACCTCAACCTCAAACACAACTTTCTGCCTTCAGACCAGCGGCTACAGCAGCTGCAGAGGTACACTGCACACTGACATGTCAACAGTGCAGGTGCTAAACTTAGTGAAGCCATTTCAACTCCTGGAAAAAGTGTGGTGTACAGACTGAGTAGTGTTTTCTGCTGACTATCCAACAATAAATTACTGTGTAGACATTAAGTTTAAATAGTTTCTTCACTGAGATTCAAGTCACTACTCCTACGCGGGTCATTCTTTGTAATGCTTTTCAGTTTCATTTCAGTTAAAACGTTCTCATACCTGTTCTATTACATTTTTCCAGATACCTCCTTACTATTTTTTACCTCAGTGCAATAGGGCAGTTATTTGTTACAGTTTTCCATCAGTCAAGTGGCAGTGTTCTTTCTTATATAGAACCAGGAAGTGTTATTACATTATTTTGTTGATGCATGTCGTCAAAGCACAACATTCAATCTAAAAGGAAGAGATGGTTTTTTCAAACGGTTTCATCATTAATCTACCAAAATACAGATTTCTCATTTTCTCTTGATAACATCAGTGAAAATGCATCTTAACTGTTTTAGTAAAAGATGTAGTTCACCCTTACCAGTGGCAAACTTAAAAATATCTTTGCAAAAAGGACTGTTTTTCCAGTGTTTCAAGATTATTTTTTTTCATCAAAACAGAGCTAGAGCCGTTTATAGTTCTTGTCATGAGAAAATTAGGAACTACTTGCACAAATGCACCCCTGACCTATCTTACCAAACCTTTATCAATCTCTGTAAACTAGGATAAATCCTTGTGATGTCATAGAGTAGTTTCCTTTTTACAAGGGGTGACCAGTAATCCAGATCATATTCTGTGTTTATCCATTTGTATTCTTTTCTCAAGATCATATTTAAGGCCAAAGTAAGTGGTAATGTGGGAGATCTGCTATATATCTGTTATACATGGATATCAATCCAAGCTACAAAACGGGGAGTAAAATTGTGGGAGGGATTCGACTCGAGACACTTCCCTTTCCCCACAACAGAAAAGCTCTAATACAGAATTAATGCCTTGGCGAGACACAGCCTGGTCTTGCTTGAAGCAGCGGGTCACGGCTGGCTGCTTTTGGACCGCATTAGCATTCGTCTGCTCGGCCCTGAACCTGAGCAGTCTAGGAAGTGTTCCACAGACACAAGGGGCCCCCCAAAAGAGACTAGCCAGATCTGCTCTACGAGGAGAACCGGGCCAAACTCGCCCCATAGCCCAGTATGTCCATGGGGAAGCTTTTAATGTGGCCTGGACTAGCTTGCTCACTCCCAATGTGGGCGCCATCTGCTACATGCTTATCACGGTTACAGATTACAGCCCACGGCCAAGATTCAGGGCCTGTGTGAGTGTATGTGTGTCTACTGTACAGCTGATATTAGTATTCCACTACACACGCGTGCCTGTCAAAGCCTTTCATCCTTCAGATCATTGCCAGCATGCCTTGCCGTTAATTGGTTGGATTGTAAAGATCTGATGCGTGTGAAGTGAAGTGACTATTTTCGGGTTTGTTTGAGTTCCTTCGACGTTGGGTTGGGAGATGAGGTTGCAAATGTGAGGTCAGCGGGAGTACTAGACGATTCATTTTTTTGGCAGTGTGGCCCAGGGCAGCCGTGGCTACATTATATGTACCAAGTGAATGAATAGTATCTACAATGATGGATGCAGTAATCCAGCCCAGTCCCTTATACATAAAAGTGAAAATAGTTACTCTGTTAAAATGATGCCAAAGGTAATCTCTTATTTAGCTAATTTAAAATGATAATTAAAGGTTAAACGGTTAGCAATTAAAGCAAATATTACACACACAAAATAAATGCATCACAAAGGCAGTGTGATTGGTATGATTGATGAAATAAGTTCAAACTACAAATCTGCCCAATTGTGTTTTAAACTAGTTGTTGATCCTGCAAGTAACGTCAGAACTACTTTCTGACTAATCGTAACCCAGTCCAATAGCATTTCCAATTTCTGCATTTGAATCCCTATCTAAAATGTTAACAGCTCTTTGTGAAAACTGCTATATATATATATATATATATATTTGTTCCCTAAAATGGTTGTGTGCAAAACATTTTTGGCTGTTATGCATTGCTAATCTTACCATTCTTGTCACATCTAATGCTTGAAATAGTGACACGTTACTCTAAGCTGATATTATGATAATAAATGGCTCCCCCGCTGGTGAGACGCGGTAGTATCCATTTAGCTCTCCAGAAGACTAAGCAGGCTCCTCCGCTTTTGACCCAGCATATGATGAAAGGAGGTCATTAGCAACAAAAGAAGAGTTATAGTTGTTAAAAATAGACTTGTTTTGGCTGAGGCGATTCCACAATTCAACACACACACAGGCCCCGGGAGAGAGGGGTTTGAAAAAGGGCTGGAGTCAGGAACAATCGGGCGCTCTGTGATTTCGCTGTGGGACAGTGGAGGCAGATGTACCTCATTTAGATACCGAGGTGGCTGGGGCTTCATTACAAAGCCCTCAGGCTACATTTATATGTACATAAAACCCTCAGCCCTCAAATAAGGAGATCTCAAATTATAAGAAAAACAATGTCCTTTTTACAGTCTAGTTACAGAAGTAGGGCAGTCAAAAATGCAAGAGAATAAAGGTTTCTCAAACGTGCATATATCATAATTTGAGTAGGTAAATTCAATGGGACATGTCATGTGGGTAACAACAAGTCACAAACAAAAAAATTGCTTTGGTTCTTGGTGCAAACAAGTAAAACAAAAATTGACATTTCTTAAAATTACAACTATGTACAAGTGCACTGGATAAAAGTAGAGATGGTAAATATAACTTGCTTAAAGCTGAGGTACTCAATTTTTTATTTACCTCATAAATAATACATTTTGTTTGTCTCCACAGAAAGAGGCAGAGAAAAGGTCATGAACAAACCAGACTACTGTTCCTCGCTCTGTTTTGAGAGCGAGAAACTAGTTAGATGGATTGTTTTATATACTGAAAGTCAGGTACCCCAGCTTTAACTGCTGTACTGGTACCTGTATGTACTTCCTTAGTTCCCAGCAGGCCTTGTGTTCTGTATCAACACAGCTTTACTCTCTATTTTCACAAGTGGAAAGGAATGCGTGAACCTGCCACATGCCTCCACCCTGATCTTTTGTTTTTGTTTTTCTGTCCTCTTTTCTCTTTGACCAAATACAAACAGTGGGTGATTTACCGGTCGGCACTAGATCATATACGGAATCGGGACGGAAGCGGAAGTAAATATAACAAACTACCTATTAATGCCTCAACTTAACCAGCCATTCCCATAAAATAACCCCAACCCACCCTTAACCCTAACCTTAACCATCTTACTCAGACGCCTAAAACTTAACCAGTCACCATTTAAGGACTTATTAGTCTAAAACTAATTCGAAAGTAGGAGTGTTACTTCCCGGGTTTCATCCCGATTCCGTATATGATCTAGTGCCGACCGTGATTTACCAGCCAGATATGCATGATCAGTTGTCTTGGTTACGAGGCCTGGAAAACGTCAACACCAGCAATGTAGAATAGCCATATGCTAGCTAACTATATTGGACCTGTTGTGTTATTTTCATCCCAAAATTCTAAATGCAAATAATTTTTCCCAATGAGGTTTTGTGCCAACTCGACAACCTGCTATTTCTGCGTATGTCAAGAACTTTTTTCAATGGGACGAGAAACAAACTCTAGTTTCAAGGGCAGTAGCATGTATACTAAAACAAAGGCAATGACAGGAGAGGGAAACATACAGGTAAGCACTAAGAAACCGACGATGTGCTTTGGCAATGACACAGACAAAAGGGACAAAAATCAAGCTAAATATAAAACAATCCAAGCAGTTTCAGGTTTTATCATCCGTCGTAAATTTGCAGTCGCTAATATAATCAGCAAAACCGTGGGCTTCCAAATTAACCCTGTGTTATTATAATTACCCTCTCATTAACCTGAATTGCCCTGTAGAAATTGAGTAGCCGCTAATGGACGGACACCCATGACACAGACCAGGGGAGCTCCTCTTGCATTACTCAGCAAGTCGTGTGTCGGCAGATTTAATGGAAGAAGTGACATTTTCCCACACACGCCTCCCTTTCTCCCTATCTCTTCTCTGTCCGGAATCCCAATCAATAGCCCGGACGTGTCGCCTGTCGCCTCCTCCATCAGGCTGATCTACTGTGCTAGCCGTTAGCTATGTGCCGCGCAATTTTAATGGATTAATGTAGCGTGCTATGCTCTCTTTAGCGGATGTGATAGGTGATAGCAGTGTATAAATAAAGACAGTAGTGTACTTTCCCCTGGGCTCTGTGCGGTTCCACGGGCGCCCTGTCTGCCCCGCCGCTCACCCCCCCCCACCCCGAGGGACGAGCCCATTTTGAAGGTCATCTCTTTGCCATGGGACGCTTCGCCAAATGCCACTGTCCACTGGCTTTATTTGAATGCAAAACAAAAGCCCTTGTTTGTGCAACAATCAAAAAAGGAGACAGGTTTACAGCTAAAGAGTTTGTTTACAGACAGAGGCAGGCAGTCAGAGATTCCTTATAGTATTGGACAACTGTTGATTGAATAGATGGATCCTCAAACTATAAAGCAACCTACATGTATTATTCATGAAACAGAGAAGCAAGGCTTTAATACAATTCAATTCAATTTATTCTTGTACAGCCCTAAATCATAGCAGTAGTTCTCTCTAAGGACCTAACAAAACCATTTAATTTGCCGATGCAGATCAGAGAATCAAACCGTTCAAACACAAAAAATGCAATGATAAAAAAAAAACACAGCCTCACAAGTCCATAAGGGATAGATGACTAATGTCCACAAATGTTGATAAATGTTGTTGAATGTCGAGTGCCCTTGAAACTCAAGTGTTTGTAGTAATATTAACTATTTGTATTCTGATCTGAGGCATTTGATTATTTGACATTATGAAGCAAATGGATAGTTTGTATACAGATTACAAGGGCCAAACCTGAAATGGATTGAGATAGGAAAAAATAGGCTAAAAAATGTGTACTAGTGTATATGGGATCGATGATACAGATGCACAGATGATCCGATGCCGGGTTGAAATGGAATGGATAAAAACAAGGATTGATAAAAAATGTGGAGGGAAAAATACCTGTATAATTAATCTACATATCAATTTAAAAGGGGATTGTACATTGGAGCCACAGATAGAATCCAGGCATTTTGTTTATCGCTGAAAAGTCTAAATATTCATGAGTGTGTTCTCTCTCAAATATTTACACTTCCTACAACTGCATCTAACGGTTTTATTTTTTACTTCATTTTACATGCTCTAAAATCTTTGCCTTTTCTTGTTTGTTTGTTTTTCGGTGCAGATTTTCCCGGTTGCGAAGCCTGAACTTGTCCAACAACCACCTGGGTCAGTTCCCTCTGGCCATCTGTGACATCCACACGCTCAGCGAAGTCAACCTCAGCTGTAACTACTTGGCGGCGGTTCCCGGGGCTGTCGGGGCGATGACCAAGTGAGTTCCACAAACACAAAAGTCAATGGGGCCTTTTCATGCCCGCTCGCTTCGAAAGTGTGGATCTTCTCTTATGGAGCCATTCATTCTCAAAAGGACAGTTGTCTTGTGAAAACGTTTATTTAGATGATGCAGCATGTTAAAGCTGGGGTATCTAACTTTTTTCTTTCTTCACAAACAACACATGGAGTTTGTCCAACAGAAAGTCTTGTTTAAGTCGTTGGTCATCTGTCCCTTATGGACCGATGGCTCTATGTGTTTTTATTTGTTTTATCATTGCATTTCTTGTGTTTGAACGGTTTGATTCTCTGATCTGTGTTGGTGAATTGAGTTTTGTTCAGTCCTCTGAGATAACCACTGTTGTGATTTAGGCCTATACAAGAATAGATTGAATACGATTAAATTTAAGTCTTCATCGTTATTAGAAAACATTGTATCTTTTGTATACTTGAGAGAAAGAAATTATGTGGCCATACTTGCAGGTGAAAGTGAGATTCCATCAGACTCCTGTAGCTAAGCAGGGCAGTGCCTGGTTAGTACTGTGATGGGAGACCTCTGGAAACTGCCACAGTTGGGCGGCTGCAGCTGTAAAGACCCAAACAATTGTTGTGTCCTTCACCCACATTGCAGGTGTGTGTGCGTTTGCGTGTGTGTGTGGGAATGATTGGTGATGATCAGATGGTTGTCTTGCTCCTTCACTGTGCCCCAGGGCAGCTGTGGCTACAGTAGTAATTTGTCACCACTGTGTGTGGAGTGAAAGAATAATGACATGTGAAGCGTCTTGTTATTATCATTATTATTGTTATTATTATTATTATTATTATTATTAAGCCCTCTCAGTCCCTATTTGACTCTTTGGGTTCTACCTTTTTTGTATGAAAATGGCCAAAAATAAATGCATGTGAAAACTAGTGATAGAACCAAACTGTTTTGAGAGCTGGGAACACAGAAACCAAACAATGACAATGCAGTAAAAGCTAAGTTCAGTACCCCAGCTCTAAAGGGCTCCTACCACATGTTAACGCGATAGCCAAGAAAAGCATGTGTTTATAATAGTATGTGCATCTGTCTCTGAACTAAAGCTACCAAACTATAAAATCGAATTACTTACATCTGGGGAACTTAACTTTTTTGTTTCATAAAGAATAGCTTTTGATTTACCCCAGTATTAAGTGTCTTGTGCAAAGCAAATCGAACCACAATCTGCTGTCTTCATCTTTTTAGAAAACTGTCATATTTTGAATACTTGTGAAAAAGGAGCTCTGTGAATCAATATATGACACTTTGGGCTGTGAGCTGCTTGAGTGACGGTGGTCCTCTCTTTTTCACTTTTCTGTCTGAAATGGCTGATCTGAAGCTGTGATAGAGGTGAAAACAATTTACCGTTTTGCCGCCGTCTAAGCTTATTCCACTCTCTCTGGTGCAATCCTCCTGGAATCTTAATTATTCACCACAAGAGAAGAAGGAGCTCTGTATCATTTACTTATGTTAATACTGTACTTGGGTTTCGTGCCATCATTAGTAAAATTAAACTATTGATTATTTGATTGTAGAATCTATTAGTCAGAATTTATTTCCCATATCTAGATCAACATTGAATATTGGTTTGGGAAAAATATGATTCAATTCAATTTATTCTTGTATAGCTCTAAATCACAGCAGCAGTAGTTATCTCAGAGGAACTGTTGATTTCGCCAACACAGATCAGAGAATTTAACTGTTCAAACAGAAAAAAACAGAAAACACATTGGTATTGGTCCATAAGGGGCAGATCACCAATGATTCATAAAAGATGTTTTAATTTTTTATTTGTTTTAAATTCTTTGTAGCGCTTGCTCCATGTGACACAAGTGCAACTTTGCATTCCTTTGAGTATTTACAAAAAATAACCAATTAATCAAGGCAAGGATATTGTAATTTAAGCTTGTTTGTAAACTATTAAATCTGGCATACCCCATTTTCATCCGCTCTTAGCTCAAAGTGTCAATCAGTGCCTCACAAAGTGCTCTTACAAGTATGCAAACTATGGTTTCGAATAAGATGAAGACGGCACCATGTAATGAGTACGAAATGGAAAAAGTCAGGTTGCCCAGCTTTAATTCAATTCTCAGCCTGAGTTTAATTTAGTAGTTCACTCTATTTTTCTTATTGACGAGAAAGAACATTGATATTGAAAGTGTGTTTTGTGTACAAGTACTTTGACAAACTCTCACGTAAGCGTTCAAATCAAGTCGTACAGGACTCACTAATGGTCGGAAAACTGTGTACTTTCACTTTTGTCAGCCTGCCCCAGCGTGCAGCTCCAATTGTGGCTCAAATGCCTCTAAACAGTCTTTTAATGACTCATGTCCCGGGTTCATTTTGGCGGTGTCGTGCTCAGGCTGTGAAAACCACTGAACCCAATCACAAAGCGACTGCACTTCTTGCCACTTTCTGAGTTTACATAGGCAAATGAGAGAGGTTACCCGGCAACAGGCACATGTTATAACAGCCACCCGGCCGCGCGGAGCTAGCCACACGTGAGCAGACGACAACAACACGGACATGCACCGGTCATCTCGCAGCGATATTCTATTCTCTATTTGGATGCAGGCTCTGGTTTTGATAGTATGATAAGCAATACCTAGTTTTTATGTGTCATTTTGTTTATCCGGCAGAGAAATATTGTAAAAAGCAATATGTTGTGAAGAAGTCAGGCCTCACCATGCCGTTTTCATTTTATTAGACAACATTAGACCAGAGCCTTGTGTCTTTGAGTCACTGTATGATTAAGGTGGACTGAGAGAATGATGATAATAATAATAAGGTATTGGTTTTATATAGTGCTTTTCGGGACACTCAAAAATGTCATAATTCTCAGGATGGTCTTCTCTTTTTCACTTTTCTGTCTGAAAAAGATGATGCAGGGATGTGCCAGGCTGTTTAGAAATTAAAATGGTAGAACAGAATCTATTTATTGTGTACCATGCTAGATATTCTCCTTTGGCCCACATCGCAGAGGAACGCTTTTGACAGCGATGAACTAGTTTAAGATGGGGTGCCTAACTTTGGAACCGCAAAAAGATAACATGATAACAAATCTATGTACAGAATCTACTTCCTGTCTTTAGAAGAGTTTGGTTCTATAGTTTTCACATGCATGTATTTTTGGCCGCCACATTTTCAGATCTGATTTGAACCATTGGTGTATAAGATATTGATTTCTGATAAGATACAGACACAAAATGTAACCTAGACAAGACTCTTTCTGTTGGGATAAACAAAATTTATTCATAAAACAAAACAAAAAGTTGGCACTCCAGCTTTAATTGCCTACTTTCACCTTTTGCAGTTTGAACATGTATTCTCTTGCCTCTTATACGCGCCTCTTATTTTTCCAAATGTCAAACTTTTACACTTCTATTATTATTATTTTCAAGGTAGAGATTTTATACTTGTTATTTATGCTAGAGTTAGATTTTGTTTTATTTTTATTATTATAGAGCTATTGTTCACTTGTGCCGTGTGCTCCTCTTTTCCTACTGTTCTATACCTCGACGTTTCGCCACTGTGGGACGAATGAAGGATCATTAGGCCAATTTTGGACCCGATTTACCCCTACGACAAGAACGCCCCGAATATTGTAACAAAAAATCTGATGGATTTTCCTGCCGTGTGTGGTGTCTTAAGACTGCGCTCGTCGCTTGGAAGGACTTCGGGACTGCTCAATATCGGGGATATCCAACATGTTGGATTGATCGGGGCGACAGTAGCTCAGTTGGTAGAGCATTGGCCTTTGGGCCTGAAGGTCGTGGGTTCGAGCCCACCGCAAGACCTACTTTTGCCGTGTGGCTGCTCACCACACACTGTACGACCAAAGTGGTTAGACCCATGATTGTTTATCTCCGTGTGTGAGGTCTCACACAGAGAAAAAATCGGCCGACAATTTTTAAATTGTCTCGTGTGAACCAGGCTTAAATCACAACAGTAGCCAGAGGACTTAACTAAACCATTGAATTCGCCAACACAGATCAGAGAATCAAAAAGTTTTAACACAAGAAATAAAATACACATCATAGAGTCATTGGTCCATAAGAAGCAGATGACCAAGAAAGTCAGGTACCCCAGCTTTAAAGAACAGGGTTTTTTTTGTTCTGGGCCCTCTGTGCATGTGGCAGGTTTTGATGGTTTGGTGGTAATCATTACGCTGCACACGAGATAGTGCCTCTGGTAGATACTTATCGTAGTTTCAGTCCAAAGAATGTTTTCGAGGAAACATTCAATACTAAACAGTTTGAACAGGAAGCGAGTCGTAAAAGGAATCCCTGAGTCATCAAATCAATGCAATGCAGAGACTGTTTTCTACATCAGGAAATCAGCTTGTATTTTGCCTTCTATTCTATTTATAGAACTAGATAAATCAAATAAAAACATATTCAAAGTTCAACCTCTGCCAGCACAAGAGCAGTAGAAAGGGACGCCATAAAGTGATTGTCATTTAAAATCCTAATCCTTTTTTTATTTTTTTCCTCAAAACAATCTTGATAACCTTTGCTATTTTGTCCTCTGCCCTATATCTGATAATGGCATAATTAAAATGCATACAATGAATTCAACCAATCAGTCTTGTTGCTAAATTATTATAATTTTTTTTTCAACAAATATATAATTATTATTTTCAGAGTTCCATTATTGTAACACACATTTCCTGCTTGGTTCCAACAGCGAAACATGCCATAAGAGCATGCAATAACTTTTCTGAGGGTAACCATAATTGTGTGCTTAAAGTTTCTTGACAGCGAGGACACATTGACACATCATTAACACACCCTGTTCTTGTGCAGTCACAAACTTGATAACGGTTTTACAAGACTCAAACATCAGTGTGCGTATGTGGAAGAACAAAGCAGATTTTACTGGCTCTGAACCAAATGTTTTCACATGACGTTTTCAGGAGTGGTTTTGGCCTCAGCTTCCACCTCCAAAAACCAGCAACAATTTGTCACACTGCCACTTGCTTAAACAGTAACCGTGATATATTGGTGTTTTAAATTCAAGAACTGTGTTTCTCAGTGCGTTTGTCAGTATTGACAGAATGCTAACATCCAGGTATGCAGTCTGGAGTAGTAGATAATCTGCTGGAATGATCTGGCATTCTGAGAAATTCCTTCAGTCACTACCAGCGCACTTACACCGACACTGCCCCCTGCTGGATCTTTTGCACACTGTCACTGAGAAAATACACTTGTTTTGTAGGTGACCTTTTCAACGCACAACATTACAACTCCCCTTGTTTATGAATGTTCTCACTGATCAAATCTCTCTCTCTCTCTCTTTTGTAGCTTGCAGACTTTCCTGTTGGACGGCAACAGCCTGAGCGATCTTCCCAACGAGCTGGGATCCCTGCAGAGGCTCGGGTACTTGGGGCTGTCGTTCAACCAGTTCTGCAACATCCCCCAAGTGCTGGAGAGGCTGGCATCTATGGAAAAGCTGTGCATGGCGGGCAACAACTTGGAGACACTCACACTGCAGAACTTCAGGCTTCTCCGGATCAAGCACATCGATCTACGGTAACCCGACACCGGACTGCATGCAAAACTGTAGCGTGGACTGGCTGACACATGTTGCTGGCCTAATGATAGAAAGCAAAACAGTGAAAGGAAGTCGCCGGGCGCGCGCGGAAAGCCAGGGAAATCATTTGCTTATCTCGTTTGGCGTCTCACGTGTCTCAGCAAAATGCGGCGTTTGAGTGACTTGCAATATTGAGCGGTTAATATTTCACCACTTTGTAAGAATGGTAAAGTGAAGTTTCCGTTTCTGAAGGGGCCAATCCAAATACTAATCAGGCTTAAAGTTACATTGTTAAATTACTCAACTGACTCAATTTTACTCTACTTTTTGTCAGTTAATTTATGAAATATTACCATTACACTCAATGGGAACTCCAAACTCATGAATAAAACTGTCCAAAAAGTATCACTAAAGTTGATTGGGATATGGTGCTTTTTGCTTTTTTTCTCGTGATATTTGCCTCAACTGAAAAGGAGATTTACTCCAAACTCCAAATTTGATCATACAAATACAGTAAATCCCCAGGCCCCTGCTTCCCCAGACACTATCAGCTTTATTTTTGCAAACCCTGAATTCCTATTTATGCCAAATGTGACCTGTACATTTCTCCATTGTGAGATCAATACAACCATAGTAATGATATTCCCGACACTGAAATAGCTCTCATGTGAATTGCATCTTTTCCGTCGTATTGTGAACGCCTGGTCTCACACCTCCACCTGTGTCTTGGTTTTAGGCTGAATAAGATCTCGCTGATGGTGCCAGATGAGCCCGACCTGCTGCGCCACGTGACCCAGCTGGACGTGAGGGACAACAGGCTGCAGGAGCTGGACGCCTCGGTCTTCCCCCGGCTGGAAGTGCTGCACTGCGAGAGGAACCACATCCAGAGCCTCCGCGCCAAGGGGACGCTGCTCAAGGCCATCTACGCCACCAACAACGGTACGTGAGGGATTTCTGGCAAAAATGACTTCTTATTGCATATATTATAATCTGATTTTTGATCTTCTATTTACTGGTTTTATGTATTAGTTTTTGTTTCTGTTATACCTGCTTCAGATTATTTCATGTTTGACTAGACTGTGTTTGGTGTATCTGTCCCAATCAATATTATAAATGACTTTTTTCCATCCCTATTGAAAAACACAAAGACTTAATCACCACATCAGATTACTCATTTATTTGTTTATATTGAGTTTATACCAGTAATTGTTTCAACCAAGTGTAGTTTTCACTATTCACAATTCAAGTATGTTACAGGTAAATACACTTTTCAATACATCTCAAGGGAGCACATGCGCTGCTTGATGCTATTAGCTGGTTTTTAGCACCTTAAATACATGTTTGAGTTCTCCCAGTGCTGACATAGTAGTGGATTGAATTGTAGAATGGCTGTTTTTGTTTTCCATTTGTTACAAAATGCTTGAGTGATGCTGACATACGTACAACCAGCATTGCACTACAGATTACAGAGGTGAAAAAAAATCAATCTATAGCAAAGAGCAGTGAGTGTGTACGGGTGCTAGTAAAAGCAGGGTAGGTCAGTGCAATGGCCTCTGGGTAAAATATACAGCTGTTACTATGTGGCACTACATAAAATAACCAGGAGTGGTCATTATATTACGATAATCTTTTTAACCTTGACCCAGAAATGGCAAGTTTACCCATTCAGTTCATTCCCAGTAAACACGGGAAAACAAATACCATAATTCCCGGACTATAAGCCGCTACTTGTTTCAAATTCATTCAACTCTTTCAATTGTAAATTTCTCCTTTGTGAGATCAAAACAGTTTCTTATAGTGATGCTGCTAATATGTTTGTTTTTTCTCTGATGGAGTTTTGCTGTTGTCAGAGAGAAGAGTTTATGGATTGATTATTTTGACTTCAAGTTTTAGTTGCTGTCTGACACTTGTTAATTGTCAAAATAGATGATGGTGAATGAGTAGTGGACGCTAACGGTCAAGTTAAGTCGTCTATCTGCTACATTACAACATGAACTCGTGCGGCTTATAATCAGGTGCGGCCTATATATGGACAAAATGTACTTTATTTTAGAATATTGCTGGTGCAACGAATTTACAGGTGTGGGCACGAGTCCAGACAGTATGGTACATTCTTACAGTCGTTTTTTTGGGCAACCAATCAATTTAAACAGGATTTAATCTCTTATTCTTTGCAGTGTAGTTGAAGGTTATCGCTCATATCTCTCATCGCGTGTCTGGAGACTGAATCATCCCGTATGCCCTCGGTGGCCATGCGTCTGCCGCTCTGCTGGGGAACATTAGTGTGTGTGAACGCTGCAGTCTCCGTGCCGTCATTATCCCTGTGCTGCCGGGCCTCCCTCCCGCCCGCCGCCACCCCACACACACACACACACACACACACACACACACACACACACACACACTGTCCCTCTTGTACCTGCGCCTGTATCGCTCTGCCCTTGCTCTAGGTTAATGTGTTTGAATTCTTCGCCAACAGAGCTGCGACAACTGGATGTCACGCCGGTGCCCTCCAATCTTAGTTACATGGACATCTCGAGGTGAGGAGAAATCCCTGCACGGATAAATAATTCAGCTCACAACAAAAGCAAAGGGTGGTTCTCGAGCAAACAGGACTGACATAGGTACACGGTAAAAAGTGACATTTCTCATATTTGGCAAAATGTGTCTTATTTTCAGCACATTTTGACTGCCTTAAAACAAGATTTTCCAATAGGACAAGCTAAAGTATTATGTTTTGAAAATGTACAAGAAATGTCTCCCTTGGAATGAGAAAATAAAGCAACAGTTCTAGAAGACTAAATGGCTTTGTCCCGTTCGCAAATCCTGTTTTAAGGCAGTCAGAATGTACTAGATAAAAACCACTCAATTCAAGCAAATATATCCTAATATTTTATCATTTTTTGCAGTGTACAGAGGAAACCGATTGGAGTTAAAAGTTAACCCACTCCCATGGTCATCTCTATTTAACTAAGCCGTCCGATGTTTGCTTGTTTGTGAAGATTAGGAACCCCATTACAATGACAAAACACTTTCATTTATCTGCTTCTTTTTTATGAAGGGAAAATTGGAAGACCAAAGCATGTTATCAGCCAAGTCTTTAAAGCAGTAAATTGCCCTTATAGCGATGGGCATATGATTTTATATAGAGCTACCTTGTAGAAACAAGCGAAAGTCAAAGTTCAGGTAGTTTGTGACAAGAAGGTGCGTTCTGTGCCGAGCTAACCGCATGTGCCCTGAAACTTGCGGAAAACACAAGCTATTAATCATGCAATATTATACCTTGACATTTGTTTGGACTGCTACCACTCCGTTATGCTTATAAAACACTAAGTACATCCAAAAGCCTGCAGTTATTTCAGAAGAGGGAAGAAAATTGATCAATGCAGGATCAATTTCATGACATCATTGTGTTTTGTAATTGGTGACAAGTACGAAACATACAGTTTAGTAAATATAAGTAAATATGATCGGAATGCTGTAAATCAAAGTTTCAGTAAAAGTTACATGTCAAATGACGAGAAAGCCGGGCACGGAATCCGTTACTCCCAAATCAACCTCCGGTCACCTATAAGCAACTTTCAATACTGTGTAACCTACGATTTGTTTCGGGACAAATGTAAATGTGTTCCAACTGCACTGTGGATCATTTATCTTCAACACTGGCTTGTCCCCCCCGCCCACAGGAACCGCGTGGAGTCCCTGCCCGAGTGGCTGTGCGAGGCAAAGAAGCTGGAAGTCCTGGACGTGAGCCACAACCTCATCACGGAGCTGCCCGCGCGGTAAGCCCTTCTCTCAGCCTCACGCGCCACAGAGACACGTCCGGAGCCTATAAATGGACTTCGCCGATGCATTATTCCCCATGCGCCGTGTGCCAGCCGTCATCTCTCCCCCCCAACCGAGTCTCATAAATCACAGCCATGGCCACGTAACCTCGGCATCCTCTCCCCATTCCCCTCCTCTTTATATAGCCTCTCGAGAAGGTCAGTTTCCAACGCGGAGATGTTTTTTTTTTTGGTTCATCAAAGCCTCTACTTATAATTTGAAGTTTTTCTCTTTTAGTCCACGTGTCCTTCCGTTGTCTGCGGATTTATTTTCTACCTCAAGTGTCAGGATGATGAATTTCTTCTGCAGGTTCCACTAGAGGCGCTGCTCGTTCCTTTTTTTTTAAGCATCCCCAAAAGCCTTCTGCTCTGCCTTTGCGCTGTCCTCTTTGTCACATTGGGCTCACATTCTACTCCTTTTTTTAGACGGCCAGACTATTTAGACGCAGCCTGAAACACAATATAGAGATTATATGGGGGGTGCCGCATTTAAGATATTGCTCAATATCAAAGTGATCTATTACAAGCTTCAATCTATATCACTTATCATTATGTCATCTCCTTTTATTGCCACAGGTTGTTATGCAGCAACAGTGTGAGGAAGCTGAGTGCTGGACACAATCAGCTGCAGCGGCTGCCTGACAGAGTGGAGCGCCCTCTGCTGGAGGTTCTGGATGTGCAACACAATCAACTGGTCGAGCTGCCTTGCAACCTGTTCCTCAAATCTGAGAGGTACTGGTTGCCTGTGAATTTAGTTAGTATACTAATAGAAATGCTAGACTCATTCACAGAGTGTATATGAGCAGAGGAGGATAGTATAGATGTATTCTAACAAAAACAAAGGATTTCTTAATATTTAAAATTAATGTCTTGACTGGTACATACAGTCAATTGTTTCTTGATGTCTGTTATTGTTTGTGGTACAATAGACTTCAAAGCAAGCCAAAAGATCCTTTGTCTGTTGTTAGATTTCTGCTTGTCTTCCAAATAGTGAAAAAACAGGGCTCTTTCAGTACGACAGAAATCCATCCTGATGTTATTGATAGATGACATTCTGATATCACTAGTGTAGAAACAGAAGAAAGTGTGTCAGTGTGTATGTGTATCTGCTGACACTTTTGGAGACACAGAAAATAACAAAATATTATCAATTACTGCGTATAGCTCCTTTAACCACATGCTTTTACTGGCGGATTATGATCAACCTTATGATTAACCTTTTGATGAAGAATACATAGTTCAGCGGGTTGAGGTGTGTAGGGATAGTATAAATTATAGAGGGATAGATGTAAATTTCTCCATTATGAGATCAATAAAGTTTTTTCTTATAGCAAAAACAAAACGACCCACATTACTGTACTTGTTTTTAACTTGTCATTAACTGCATTTAATTGTGTGTAAATATATATACATTGTTAGATTTGTTTTAATACTAGATTTTAAATAGACAGATAAGAATGGATTTTCACCCTTGTAATGTCCTGTGATTTGCAGCTTGCGGAGCGTCAACGCATCGGCCAACAAGCTGGAGCACCTGCCCCCGTCCAGCCTGTCGGAGGAGAGCCACAGCATCCTGCAGGAGTTCTACCTGACCAACAACCGCCTCACGGACAAATGTGTGCCCATGTTGACGGGACACACTCACCTCCGGGTCTTACACATGGCCTACAACCACCTCCAGACCTTTCCTGCCAGGTACGTCTATACACCTACTGTAGAAGCCATGTATAACCAGCAAGAAGGCTTTAAATGTGGGGTATTTTACTATTTTGTGCTTCGTATGTGTTGTTTTCTCCATTGAAAGAGTTGTAAAAAGTTTTTGAATGTAAAATAATTTCTCTAGATTTATTTTCAAAAACAATTCTTATTTAGATTTGATATAATAATCATGTTTTTTGAGTGGATAAACTGTCTACAGGACAATTCAATTATTTGAGTAGTGAAACAACTCCATCTAGTGGTTAAAGTGGGAAACGTCATGCTGCTTTTCCAGTAAAATATCCATATAGAAGGTTGTTTGACTGACGTTGATTAAGAAACGCAGAAATGAGCTCTGTCCATGATGTCATAGCGTAACGAGTTTGAGATAAGAGCATTTAGACAGAAGGGGCTGAGGGCTGTGTTTGTATAACTGTCTTTTTGCTTATGCTACATCATTGTTCTCTCATCAAAAGTTGTGTTTACTTCCATCCATCCATCCATGCCATAAAGAAGAACTCCTGGCTCAAACACATCCCTGGCTCTTTATGTCTACATTGTTTACACTATTGTGAATCTTCAGACTGCGGCGCGTTTTTTTGTTTTTAAATGTCATATGTAACAGTTTGGAAATAATCTGCCTGTTATCCTGGTGTTGTCACGACAGTAAAATGGCCAAACTGGAGGAGCTGGAGGAGGTGGATCTGAGTGGAAACATGCTGAAGACGGTGCCCACGACCATCCTGAACTGCAGACGCATGCACACGCTCATCGCCCACTCCAACGCCATCGAGGTCTTCCCCGAGGTCATGCAGCTCATGGACATGAAGGTGTGCCCTGTTCACACCACTCCTCTAGTCCGACATTTAAGGGACAATATACAAGGATCCAAATGTATGTATATTTATTTATAGTCAATTAATAAAAAGGAACTAATTTAATTTAATTTTTTATTTTTATTTTATTATACACAAACAACATGTGTATAATTTTGAGTTACATATCTAGATTTTGTGTCAAATTCATGCTCAGTACTACATAACTATCTGGATAAGACACTACTTTTTGTATTGTCTTTTGAGATCTAATCAACTTCTCGATTAATCGGCAGAATTGCTGATTACCAAAAAAGGGTTAATCATTGAATTTCTTGACTGGTAATGACCATCAGTGCACGAAACAACAAATATGTTCAAACCTTGTCAACTCAGTAAAGAGAACTTGAAATATCTCAAGTAGAAATAGAAGTATGGGTCAAAAGTGGCTAAATTTTATGTGAAAAGCGACCAAATGAAATGCAACTGAGAGCCATGGTACCCAATTTGTCATGCCTTTATAAAGTTTATGTAAAGACCAACAAGGAATCTTAATGATCTAATGTTGTCTATAGCCACTACAGCCCGTTTTTTCCTCTAAATACATAAAAGCATGTTGTATATTCATCTGTTTGTGGCAGTGTGTGGACCTCAGCTGCAATGAGTTGAGTGAAATAACTCTCCCGGAGAATCTGCCGCCCAAACTACAAGAGCTGGACCTGACGGGAAATCCTCGCCTAAACCTGGACCACAAGACCTTAGAACAGCTCAAGTAAGTATTTATACAACTTTAACTAAATGAGTAAGAAAACCATGACCAAGTTTTTACAAATGTTTTTTTACATGCTGGTTTTACTAGTTTCAAAATGATCTGGGCGTTGCTTATCTTGAAAGAGAGACAAAATGCTTTTTGTTAACATGGTCAGAAGTGGCTCAGTGATTCATCTAGAAATATTTGTCCTTTTTATTCCTGTTTTATTTGTATATAGTTGTTCCAGAGTGTTATTTTTTTCCCACTGGGTTTTTGAGTGGTTCCTTACCAATGTAGGAGAGTTTAAGGACAAACATTGACTGGGACATTTAAAGATATATATTAACATTTATAAACATTAGTCTCCCACTCCCCATGAACCAATAAGCTCCTATGTGTTTGTGATTATTACATATCTGTGTTTGAGCCATTTGATTCTCTGATCTTTTATTGGCAAATCGACAACTTTGTTAAGACCTCCGGGACGGCCGCTGTTGTGATTTAGAGCTATACACAAATACATTGAATTGAATCGTTTACCCTCAGATGACAATGCACTAGGACATATTTGATTTTTTCTATAGGGATTTCTGGTACATTTGTTTATGCATTCAATCATTTCTGCACGACGATAACACAAACCTCCTTTCGATTTCTGAGCTCCAAGACAATGATGATGCGCTGATCTTTTCTTTACGTTTTGCCCTGTTCACAGTAATATCCGCTGCTTCCGCATCGATCCGCCCCCGACCTTCTCTTCGAATGAGGCGTCTGGTGGGCCTGCTGTGTGGAGCCATGGTTACACAGAGGCCTCGGGCGTCAAGAACAAGTGAGTGGAGACTGGTCCAGGAGAAAACTGCCCCTTCGCACTGATCCAACCGTCTCTGACTAATGCACCACACAACACACACTGTCCGCTGTCGGATGAGTCAAAGAGGGAAATATTGAATGCAAGGCAAGACAAATGTAAGGCAAAACCAGATAGAAACAACATCATAAATAATCACAGTACATCAAAAAGAAATTTAAACTCTGTCAGAGAAGAAGCCTCGCTCATATTTTCGCTGCCAACCCACTTTTTAGTTCTGTCTCTGGACACCAACAGGAGGCCAGTACCAGTGCTCCTCAGAGTCCGGGTCGGTTCATGTGGGACTAACATGTCACTAATGTACTTTGGTGCGAGGCCATGGAGAGACTCGTACAGAAACTGAGCACAGGAACCCAGTGAAGAGACCTGAGAACTGGAATAATGTGATCGTTCTTCCTGGTTCTTGTCGGGACTCGGACTCCTGCTTGTATGAATCATGTTGTTCAATGGTAGATAAGTGGCCACCATCGCTGTCTGGTAAAGAAGAACAGGCACAATGCAATTGGTGTCAGAAATCTTAGTTAGCGCTTGTGATTCACAGCAAGTAGGTCCTGGGTTTCCTTTAGGTGCTCCAGTTTCCCCTACCACTAAAAACATGTAACATACAGTAGTCCCCTGTAACACGCTCCTGATCCCCTTCTGTCTGGGGCCAGGACCCCCCCTGAACAAGAGAGTCTCAGTGGGACTTTCCTGGTTAAATAAAGGTCAATACAAATAAGAATAATTCTGAAATACTGTATAATAAGATTTGTTCCACTAGAAGGAATGACAGTTGGGCTGGTGTTGGTGCGTATGTTAAAAGCTTTAGCCATGTTACAATAGACATGTTTTAATACGTCTCTATAGACCATTTTGCACCTGGTTTTAAAGATGATTGAAAGATTTTAAAACTCGTGTATCAGGCAGCAATCCCTACTTCTCGAATTTTTTCAAACTAGAACATAATAGTCTCCTCTCTTACAAGATTTCAAACCATTTTCTGATTAAGGTTTCTCTCTAGTTTCATTCCTTCATAATATCCTTGGGTTCAGCTGATATAATTCACTGATTTGGATCGACTGCAAAAAATCTACTTTCCTGAAAATATTGTGAATGAACTTTTAGATTTGATAAAGTCAAACAGCCCCTGGTGGAAACGAAACACCCTGTCGGAGGTAATTATGTGTTTATTTGAAAGAATGGAGCGAGCGGATAATGCGTGAGTCGAAAAGGTCGCAATTATCCGAGTGACACAATTTCCTCTGCAAACAAGAAGCGTGTAATTATAATATTATTGTGTTAGAATGTTGTTGTAGCACTTCTGGACGGACTTTCTATGAGGTTTTTGTGCAGTGATGATAACGGCTAATGATGAGCAGAAGAGTTACTTTTCAAACTATGAAAGATGAAACTTTTTTAATTTTTTTAATTTTTGATCAGTAGAAATTAATTAAAGAGCAACTAAACACCAAATCAACTTTTTTTAACTCATACACTGCATAAGTATGTTTATTGTAGTGCTGTCTACATATCCTGGTCATTCTTTTGACATTTTAGTTCAAATTAGATAAAATATCACTTTTGAGCCAAAAAACTCTGTGTGGTGCCCTCTCAACCTTTTTGGTGGTACTACATTTGAATATGGTTCTGGCCTCTCCATTGACTCTGAAGTTCTCTATGACATCAGTTGTTTTGTGTGACGTCAGTCTGTCAGAGCCAGTGATATGAACCCATTCAACTCTCACACACGCCCCAGCTGCAGTTTGGAGTATTCTGGCGCCATCTAGTGGATTAAAATTAAATTACATGAGTCATTCTGAGATTATTGAGTGTGATTAGGTTCAGGTGTGTAGCTTTACAATTATCTTAGTGTGTAAACAAGGGTGGAATGAGACTTTCTGGTCTGTAAACTATTGCTTTAAGCAGCAATGACAACAATGTTTTTTTTTTGTGTGACAAGTGAGCTGTCAATCACAGCCCAGACCACGCCCAACTCTAAGCCCCCCTTCTTGTCCCTTGGTCCTCCAGGCAACGCCCTTTTTAGAGAAAATTTTCAAATCTTCATGTGGGCGAAGTAAGGCTGGGCACAGGTGTTTAGTCGCTCTTTAAAATCCTCAATGGTTGGTTAAACTTTTCTTCTTCAGTAAATCTTAGTGGTCCTAGTTCTGCCTAGGGGCGGGACTTAAATGTATCATTGTTGGAGAATGCTTTCTTTTTGTATTAATACAGTGTCCCATATTCAGAAATATACATGGTTTTAGAAAATATGGATAAGAAATGCAAAATTTGCTGAGAATCACCTTTTATGATTACTTACCAGCTTTTTTCCAGTACCTTATCAGCATTAAATTAGAAAACATGTGATTTAAGCAAGGAAAGTCCATGTGAGCTGATTGGCTGTTTGGGAATTATTTACGAATGGAACAATATACACCCAGCAGTTAGTGTGTGTTATGTTCTAAATAATAATAACAATAATACCTTTTATTTTATCATTTCATTTCCTTTGGAGCCGCTGCCTTCATAAGTGTCCTTAATAAAGTCTAAATAAATAATAAATAAATTACTTTTTTGGACAAATCGAAAATGTTTTACAATTAAAGGGACTGGTAAAAGATAACTGTTTTAAAGTTTTATCTTCAGCTTGAACTGTCAGACTGAGAAGTTTGTATTAGGTAAAAAAGGAAAGGTCCTCTACTTATTTGTATACAATCACTCACTTTCAGCCAGATTTTCCCACTTTATTTTTTAATTTATCACCAAATAAACAGGTAACAGTAGAAAAAAAACAGTTAAATTTCATCCCTCTGCCCAAAACTACTACCAGTATTTGTACCCATGTATAATTACACACCCACACATTTGCACTTTCCTATTTATGTTTTGGAGAAAGAAAAAGCAAAGCAAAAACAACAAGAAACCAAAAATAAAAGGATTAATCTAATTTGGAATTGGGATCATTAATATGGGGAATAAAAAAAATAACCCAGCAATCAATCAAAATGTATGTATCAATCAGATTTTCCGATAGAGGAATCATGGCGTCTCTTGAGTGACGTCTCATGTCTCAGGAGGAGGCTTACACGCAGGTGCCACAAACAAGACAAAAGGCGTTATTGTGCGTCTGAAAGCGGCTCCACTCATACGTCTTTTGTCTCCGGCGTCTCCTCAGGCTGTGCGTCGCTGCGCTGTCGGTGAACAGCTTCTGTGGGAACCGCGAGGCTCTCTACGGCGTGTTTGACGGAGACAGGAACGTGGAGGTGCCGTACCTGCTGCAGTGCACGATGAACGACGTCCTGGCAGAAGAGCTGCACAAGACCAAGAGCGAGGAAGACTACATGACCAACACCTTCCTCGTCATGCAGAGGTACCATCTCCTTTGTTTGATTCAGGCTGGGGTTAAAGAAGTTTGTTTTCTCCTGTTTTATGAATGCACTGACCTTCACACCTGATAGTGAGAATGATAAGCAAGGATCTGTACTGTACTAAGGGTGGAAGGATTGATCTGTCATGATGAAATTAAAACGTGTTATTCTGTGGACCATTCTCTACAACAAGAATTTTAAAAAAATGTAAAAACTAGTTTTTCTAATTGTCTATTTTGTCGAGAAAAAGTGACACCTTTGTGGCTTTAAACACCTCAGACACCTCAGACTTCTTGCAGTTCACCCAGGGGAATACTGAGGCGTTCCCAGGCCAGCTGAGAGATTAGAACCATATCTGTGAATATGTTTTATGAGGACTGAATGGTATTTATTATGAACCAATACATTTACTCGACATACAGTTTAGCCAGATTGAGAGTTATTTGTTGTCATTGTATATTTCAGGTCTTCACTCAGCCCCCAACATTTTGTAAAATGTGATCCTATATAGACAAGTTATAGCTTATTAAAGTCACCTGCATCTAGTTTCAATACTTGTAAAAATTCCCTTATGAATTATTTGTATTCATACAGGTAAAATGCCGTTTCAGATTTTGAAAATACTTTTCTTAAGACTAAGAGTGTTGCATCACAAGTTAAAGAACCATATACTGTATGCTATCTTCAAGTGTTGATGGCTGAAAATAATTGACCTACAGGATCATTTATGTTAGATAAAAAGTTACTTCAACATAAAGAATAAAACTTAATAAAATGTTTTTCTCTGGTTGTGTCATAGGAAACTGGGCACAGCGGGACAGAAGCTGGGAGGATCAGCAGCTTTGTGTCACATCCGACATGACCCCACGGACCCCGGGGGCTGCTTCACCCTCACTGCTGCCAACGTGGGCAAGTGCCAGGCCATCCTCTGCCGGGACGGGAAGCCCATGCCCCTGTCTGTGCTGCACAATGTGGGGCTGGAGGAGGAGTACCGCCGCATCCGCCAGCACAGGGCCATAGTCACAGAGGTACACCATGCTCTCTGTAATTAGAGTGAAATTCCTCTTCTCAAATATTGAATGCACTATAGTTTAAAAATGTGAAAAGTGTATACTGTATTTGCATTTGATTAAAACTGTTGAAAATTCCCCAACAATGAAGGATTATGTGTCAGTTAGGGTCATTCCAAGTGTTTTATCTAGTTGCCGAAATACTGTAACTGAAGCAGAAATGTAGGATTCACACCAGGCCTTCTATTTATTTTACCAGGAACTTCTATTTGTGTAAATTCTTGCTGATGGCTTGCAAGAATTTTTTTTAAAAGTGATCATCTGTCACTGAAATGGACTGTGGAGGGAATGTGTTTGAAGGAAATAAAGCGTTTAATCTAAGACTGAAAACTGGCAAATTTTGAAAAAGCATTAATAAAAAAAGTTGCATAAAACCCTAAAATATTAGAATTATTCACAGTTTTTGTCTCCTAACCGTTAGAATGGAATGTACGTTTATTTTAATCTGCAAACATGTGATATGTTTCTCTTGTTTCACTTTAAGGACAACAAAGTGAACGGTGTGACGGATTCCACTCGGATCATGGGCTACTCCTTCTTGTACCCGTCAGTCATCCCCTGCCCACACGTCCAGACAGTCACGCTCACGTCCCAGGACGAGTTCTTTATCGTGGGCAGCAGGGGCTTGTGGGACGCCGTCTCTCACCAGGAAGCGGTAGAAGCGGTCCGAAACGTGCCTGACGGCCTCGCAGCCGCCAAAAAGCTCTGCACTCTGGCCCAGGGCTACGGCTGCACCGACAGTCTGAGCGCGGTGGTGGTCCAGCTCAGCGTGAGCGAAGACTGCTGCTCCTGCTGCTGCTCGGAGCCTCCGCAGCCCCCTCCCAGCCCCGGCCTAGGCCCCTACCCCTCCTCCTCCAACGCCATGAAAGAGAGGCCCTCAGACGGCTCCCTGCCCGTTCCCCCGTCCTCCTGCAGCGAGATCAGCAGCGAGATCAGCACCAGCGAGATGAGCAGCGAGGTGGGCTCTACGGCCTCCTCGGACGAGCCTCCACAGAGCTCCTTAGTGCTGCTCCACGACCAGGCTCACCATCCGCACCTGCACCACCCGGCCCACGCCCTGTCCCTGCAGCACCAGCCCCACTCCGGCTCCCAGCCCTGTCAGTACTTGTACCCGGGCGCCGAGCTGCCCTCGTCCCGCAGCTGCTGTGCGGTCCACCCCCTGTGTCTGACCGGGGCGTTCCAGAGGCAGCTCTCTAGCGCCACCTTCTCCAGCGCTCTGTCCGAGAACGGCCTGGACAGCGAGGACGAGGAGCCCATCGCCGGGGTCTTTTCTAACGGCAGTCGGGTGGAGGTGGAGGCTGATATACACAGCCTCAAACTGGATTTACCACAGACTCAAGAGCGCCCTCTGCTGCTCAGTCTCCCCCCTCCTCCCCCGCCGCCCCCCTGTACCCCCGAACCACCAGAGGAAGCGGTAGACATGGCGGAGAGCGACAGCGGCATGGAGAGAGACGAGTCGTGGCACGGCGACCCAGGGAAGGTGCCGGTCAAAAGCAGGAGAGCAAACGGATCCGTAGCCCGCCAAGAGAAAAGCCACAACCTGATCGAGGTGGCCGCAGACGCCCCCTCCAAGAAGTCCGGTGGGTATTTTACAGCACCAGCGCAGCCCGACCCCGACGACCAGTTCATCATCCCGCCCGAGCTGGAGGAGGAGGTGAAGGAGATCATGAAGCAGCATCAGCAGAAACAGCAGAAACCCAGTGGGACGGAGCCGGCCTCAGACTACTATGACACCCCTCTTTGAACACACTGAGGCTGCTCCGTCTGCAGCCTTCAGCACTGGGACACCTTTGTACCAAGGAGAGAACAAGCAAACTAGCCCTTTAATGATGCGTAAACCCTTTTGAAAAGGACATATCCACAGCTGTTCCTTCTCAAACTGTGGAGTATTTTTTACACTAGACAACCAGCGGATTCGTCATCAACACTAGTCTCTTTGCAATAGCATTAGCTCGCCACAACTCTTGTTAATACAAATAACCGTTCCATGGTTGGTTTCTTTGTTTGTTTTGTAAAACTTACCATATCTTTTAATGTGAATCCAGTGACATTGCTGAAAAACTTTTTAAAACCTACATAATCTTTTTATTATCAGTGAACTGCAAGGTACACCAGTGAAACCACTCTTAACTGTTGTAGATAGGGCACTTATATACTGTATTTCTTCAGTAAATCACAGCTCATGGCCTGTAAAATGGCATAGAATTTTTGTAGAAATTGAAATACTAACTCCTAGGAGTTGCATACTCTTTATTGTGACTCAGTCACTTTACTAATCTTCTCTGAGAGAAATGATGATTTTTTTTGTTTTCCAATGACTGTAAATAAGAGTAATGTTGTATACTGATGCTTTTAAGGAACTGCATACCTGTTTGTCGGTGAAGGTTGTAGTTGCAGAAGGATGTGAGGTTGCTGTCACACTATCTCTATATTAGAAGCTACAAATATGAACACACATCCATACACTCAAACTAATGTAAATGTGCAGTAATCCCAGACATTCATGAAAACGACAGACACAGAAATGGTCCACATTGTTTGGTTGCAAGGTCCTGTTGTCATCACTGTATTTAGAGACACTATTAGACGGCTATATGCATGCACATACACACGCAGACACATGCAGACACCCAATATGTCCCACCTCCCTCCTACAGTAACTCTTACCACCGGCATGACTGTGTCAACTCCAGTAATACAAATACTATATCCACTAAAGATCTACACAGATGTTCCTGTATTTGGTATAATAAATTTTAAATTTGTGAATATAAAACATATCGTGTACGGCTTTATTTTGAAATATATCTACAATCGGATACAACAGACTGATATTGACATCAAACCACCACAAGAGGGGGCCAAAATGTAATGTTCGTCAGTCCATTCATGTTGCTTTATCCGCATTCACGTTTTCCAAGACCATGTTGTTGTCACTTTTCTTCTTGTACTTTTTCCTGACGCAGACCACACTGACCACAGTGACCACCAGCATGGCTCCCAACACGCCCAGAGACGAGGCCAGGACCAGGTTGGTCGACGCCTGCTGGGAGCCCTCATACTGACAGCTGTCCCCGTAGTACCACCAGTCATCGCCCACCGCACACCTGCAACACACATCCATGTGATTTTGACAAATACAGTACATGAAATAAATATATTCTTTATTATATACAGTAAAACATGAAGACTAATCTAAAGGACTTGAATTGTGAACTGCAGTGAGCAGACTTGACAACTGAAGTGAACTACCCATGGACCAAGATTATTTTACTTCAAACGATAAGAAATATCTTAACTCGTATTCTGCCCAGTTTCCTGGGCCCTCATGCAACAGTAATGCATTTTTGGACACTCGTTGATACTGGTGGTAAACAAATGCCTTGGGGCAGAGTCAGATAATGGAAGTGAGGCAACCAGTATGTACCATTGGCCCCTCCTACTTACCAGCGGCGTATACCCCCCACGTATCGAGTCATTCACCGGACTCATACTAGGTAATGTTAGTTCAGTGTCTTGCGTAAGGACAAAACGTCATCCCTCTGGTCCCAAAGGTCTCCCAGGCATTTACGTGCGGGTGGCACCACAAAATAATAATATAAAAGCATCGCTTTTATATAGCGCTTTGTTGGACACTCAAAGATGTGGGTGAAGTGTCTTGCCTAAGGATATAACGTCAGTTTGGCACATCACAGTCACAGCAGCCCGACTGTGGCACCTGGTATCCCCAGAGGTCTCCCATCACAGCACTAACCAGGCCCAGCCCTGCACAGTTTCAGAGGTCTGACAGGATCTGGCTTTTTGCATGCAAGTATGGCCACACATGGGCAAAGTAGGGTTAAGAGTCTTGTCCAAGGACACAATGAAGATAAAACATTAGACATTATCCCTTTTTCTATTGGCTAAAATAGATATTTTCAAGTTGGAAGTTTGTGTAAATGTAGCTCATCTAGATCTGTTTTAACGGTCATCTCATACATTTCACACCAACTCTCACCAAAGAAAATAATTGGCCTTTTATTTGCGCGCTTACATTTCTTTTCCATTTACATTACATATGTCTCCACACACACACTCTCTCACACACACACACACACACACACACACACACACACACACACACACACACACACACACACACACACACACACACACACACACACACACACACACATTTCTCATGCAAAAGCCCGGTTGAGAAGCACGGATCTTTCACATAAAAACTGACGCAACAGGTAAGAGTCCGGTCCGTGCAGCTCCAAAGGCACGCACCGAGCCTCAATGATTCAACTTCTTTTCATGTTTTCAAATCAAAGATGTGGGAGATTAAACGCAGCATTAGTATTCTCGCAGATGCAGTATGAGGAGCTTACCTGCACACGGGGGCGGCCTCCTCCATCACGCACACGCCCTGGTTCAAACACAGCACGCTCCCGCACAGGTCGGGCGTGGTGCCGTTGGTGGTGGCGGCGGTGGTGGTGGGGGGTCCCGCGGTGGTCGGTGGAATGGGCTGCGACACGGTCAAATGGGCCACGTCTGAAATGGAAACACAAGAAACGGCTCTTAGTATCTTTTTGGAGGAATATTATTGGAATGAAGAGATTTAGATTACGATATCTTAATGGGGACATGTCAGTGTAGCATGATTGTTACAGAACAGTAGGAATGAGGAAGATAAATTAACAATAACTAAAGTAAAGTCAAATCTGTAATTAGCATAATCAAGAAGTGAGTCAACTTTATTCATATAGCGCATTTTTACAAACCTAGGTCACACGAAACGCTTTACAAAGTTCAGAGTTCAAGGAGCGAGACGCCAAACACACTGGAGCATGAAAGCCTCCATTCAACACCATCCATTCAGACCTATTGTGCATGTTTTTAGTGGTAGGGAAAACCGGAGCACCCGGAGGAAACCTGGAAAACTCCACTCAGAAAGGCCCTGCTCTGACTGGGATTGGAACCCAGGATCTTGGAGTGCTATCCACTCAGCCATTTACTCATCTACATTGGAAACAAGCAAAAGGCATCACGAGGAGACTTCTATAGTTTGAATAATTCAGGTTTTGTCTCTGGCTTTAGCGTAATAAAGTAACTCTAAAATATTGCATAGTGCAAGACATATAAAGTTATATGTTTTGTTTACATCTGTGCAGCATTTATGGACAAAGTAGGTTCGTTCTGGCCCTCAAACATAACCATGAGACTTACTTTGGCATTTCATGTTTAATGAATGTGAAATCATTTACATGGACACATAAAAGATGTAATGAAACGCCTTAAAGTGTGAAATTACATTCATATTTTTCATCAACATCAAGCCTCAAAGACTAATCTACAGGTGAAACTCGGAAAATTATTATGAAATTCAAAAGTTTATAATGGTGCAATTCAACTCAAAACGGGAAACCAATATATGATAAATGCTGCGTCCAAATTCAGCAAAAATACCTTTCAAATCCATCCAATCCAAGCTGGGACCATAATATCTGAAGAAAGAATTTTGTCAACAACAAATCTATAACCAACACATTTTTCACAAACACAGAAATCCTGGTTTTATTCCTTGTTTTGTCGTTAATGATTTGAGTATAATAACAAGACTTTTTTTGTTTTTTTTTTAGTTCTGCGGCCACATGTTACTTCACCAGTGAGATTAGCTCGACGCAGTGAGTTCTGGCGCCCGGATCACGGACTTTCTGATTGGTAAAACGATGGAGGGTGGGACATCAAAATGAAAACAATAACAAGATTTAGGAGCTGTAAAACTACTTTTGAAATCCAAATATCTCTGAACTACTGTGATGACAGTTTTCAGAGTAGTCACACATCATAACCAGCCACAGCCAATACGCGGACGTGGAGGGCCTTTCAGATGCAGAGACGCCCTTCTGACGCCATGCTGTGCTTCCTGAAGGTCCCTGCTGCCCTGTCACACCCTTTTGCCTCCTCCATATTATGGCCATTGTCTTGTCTGCTCACACCCCATGCAGGACACACCATAGGGGGTGGTGCCGGCGCTTCCTGTGTGGAGCAGGCTGTGGCCCCCTCCAATCTGTTGTGGGCGGGACTGACTTTCTTGTTGCTCTGTATACACGAGACTGGGGGCTCGGCCCCCAGAGCTAGGAGATACGACCTGTTGGTATGTGTCTGCTTCTCTCCTCACGCGCGTGTGTTTTAATAAACTTACGCTTTTGACTATGACAAACATCTTTGAGTTTTTCTACTGCATTGGGGTGTAATATTCCTCCACAATTTGGCGTTGCTGACATGTCTTGGTATGGACACTTTTGGCGAGGACGAGCGGCTTTGTTTGGCCGACCTGGACGCACCAGCCTCTGCTCTATTTGGAGACAAAGGAGAGGAGAGCATGCTCGTCCTGCGCACGGAAGGAGTCTTTTTGCCACACAAGACCAAAAGAACCTAATTGGGTGAGTTTGTTTTGTCAGTTTAGTTTGAGCTTAAACAGACAAACACTTAACACATAAGACACATGGACAGAGGACAAAGGACCACATGGCCACAAAATGGCCGCCCTACACAATGCTTGCAATTTAACTAATCTGGTGAGTTTGTCTTTTCAACTGCGTAAAGGAGCCCAGGGCAGCGCTTAAGTGTACACGGGGATTTGTTTATTTATGTATTTTTGGGGTATTTCATTCACTGCCACAGCATAGACTGTGCGGGATTTTTTTGGGGTCTTTTTGTTCTAGATTGAAGCTAGCGGCTGCGCGTCAGTATCGTCCTGTAGACGACCCTGATTTCTCCAAGTGTCCTCAGCCGGAACCGGTCCATTTCAAGAACGCGCGCTCGTTGGGTATATAGAACCCACGGGGGGGGAATGGAGCGCCCCAAAGTGGGTAGGAGCAGGGAAGACACTGAGCGGGTTAGGCCTATATTCTTACAAGGAAATGGGTAAAAATTCAATCTAGAAGATGCAAGCTATGCTATATGTCTCCGAATCATTTACGCATCTTGCGTGATAAACTTAGAAGAAGAAGGGAAGAAAAAAAAAAAATATACTTGGTTTTGAGAATATCACGGCTAAAGAGGTTAGTTAGAGAAAGAAATATGTAAAACAATAGCTTCTCCGCTCTTCACCGAAGCGGAGAAACACACACACACACACACACACATCCCCCCACCCTACCCCCCCCCTTTCCCCCCTATAACAATGAGTGTGCACCCAAACAAGGCGTAGGGTTTTTAAAAAATGAGCAGACTACTTTTCCCTCTTTTTCCTATTTCCCTCAGGTCTGTTGGCGTTTTCCTCTGCGCCCTGCTCTCTGCCCCAAAGCCCCACGCCCCAACCACAGGCGGCGCTAGCACCAGCTGAGACCCCGCGAGAAGTGGGACCAAACCCGGGAGCAGAAGAAGAAGTGGCGGAAGCAGAAACATGCTCAGGAAACCGCTGAAGAAAAAGCGGGGAAGCTAATATGTGAGACACCGACCACTGCTTTGGAGGCCAGAGACAAACTGCTCTAAATCCCGTGACTGCTCTCACCGGAGGAGGCAGCGTGATATACCAAATGCCCGTGGAAAGTTGTTCCCCCACCGCAAACAGAAGAAGCCATTGAGCACAGGCTGCCCCTGGTCTCTCCAAGATGTACAGGATGGACCAAAAGTTGTCTCTTGGATTTTTAAATCTGTAGATGCTGTCTGGGCCTGCTGCGGACTTTGAAAGACTTCTACAGCCCGGCTTGAAAGACTGTGTGCTCGATATGCGTCGAAGGTCTGTACCGGAGGAGGCGTTAAAGGCAGAAACACGGGGACAGAGGACGGCAAGGCAGGGCACGGAGGAAACACAAGCCACGGACCAAACCAACACATTCGTCCAAAGCGACCGCTCATGTAAGTTTTTAAACAAATTGCAATTGGCACTCGTTAGAGATAATTCATGCTGCATTCCCGTATATATATATACGCTAACAATCTGTGGGGTAAAAGTTAAAATTCTGGATGATTATTGGTCCGTTCTAAAGTGAGCGGTCGTTTTACAAAACACAGGGCTTCAGTTAGGGATGGGGAATTAATCGATTTTGATCATCGGTTCGAGGTTTACATTTGGGGTGATTTATTTTCTTTTAAAAATCCGATTTAACTACGTGCTAACCGCGGGTCTGTGGTGTTGAGCAGCCATTTCGAAGCTAACCTAGTGCTAACAGTCTCCCTCTGGCCTGATGCTGATGCTCACAGTTGGTGCTGTTGCTATAACACTTCAAACGTTCAAGAATCAGAGTTTATTTAAATCGCCAGAGCACACACTCGTGTCCCACTGAGCCGCTGCACTTTGGGGGAAGACACGTCTCACACATTGCTCTCATTGCTCTGATACAAACAACGTGTTCCCCGCTAGCTGTTAGCTACATTAGCTGCTACATTAGCCGTTAGCCACAGCATCAGAATGTAAACAGGAAGCTCGCACAATGCGGAAGCCACTGAAGCTAGCATTAGCGCCACCAGCTGGACCGAGCGTGGTACTACAGGGACAGTTGAAAGAACAAGCATGTTCTATTTCGAGTCATCAGCTTTTAAAATTGTGATATTTCATGTAAATAATGCATGTGCTTAATAGGATTGATAGATTTGCGAAGCACCTCTTTGTGTGATTTAAGATTATTTGGAAGGTGCATAGTGCCATTGTAAGTGAAGTTATTATATACCTTTAAGCTAAATTTTCGTAACAAGAGCTCATTAGAGATATAGGGGACACAACCATTTGTGATAAGCCCAAGTACCACGTGGTAAACACTAAAGTTGGAAATGGATTTCTTTTTTTTTTAGGAAAAATCTCTTAAAAAGCTTTGCATGTTCTGCAGGCTCTGGAAGTTGCAACAATAGGAATAACTCATGAGACAATTGTAATTGGACATGGAAAATATAACAAAGTTAAAATTACAGGCCTTCTGTGTTGTCTATGTGTTTGTGTGTGTTACATGTTTGTGTGTTATATGTTTTGTGTATGTTATATGTTTGTGTGTCATGTCAAAGTACACTACGCTGACCTTAACAAACTGGACCAAAATACTAACGTGGGAAATCGGCCTGTGATATGACTGTGATATGAGTGTGATGTGTGAAATGAGGAATGCTGAACGGAATCATGGAATAACAAATGTGTCTGTAATGTTTTAATGTGATCATGGAATGGTTGTTTTTTGTCAGCAGCATACGGTGTAAGTACTAGAGATTCAAAGATAACAAGCTTTATTGAACAGGTGTACAAGTGAGAGTACTCTGGGATGAGTACTCTGAGGAAAGTACTCTGCGGAAAGTACTCGGAGATGAAATATGAAGATATTGGAAGTTCCTCCCTGTGCTGTTTGTCCTGACAGCGACACAGTCCAACCGCAGTGAGCTGTCGTTGGCTGAAGGACAACTTGGTTTGTAAACTCACATTTAGGGGAGTATAAAATTAGAAATATACATTTTGTTGTTCTGTATTTGGCTACAGCCTCCGCCCTGATGTCAAACACCGTCTGTCAATGCAGTTATGTTTTGCCCAATTGGAAAAAAGATTGACAAGCGAAAGTGGGCATTTTTTGTGTTTTTTGTGTTCTAATATTTCTCTTTCAGATGAGAGATAACTACCCCTGCTTTAGGGATGACAGTAGTATGGACCATGAGGAAATGAGCATCTACCTGGGCACCAAAGCCCACAATATGAATTGAGGACGATCCGGGACAAAGCAACTGGAGATGAACGGAACAGTCGGTACTTTTGCAGTCTCACGGAGGGCCACAGACCCACTGCTTACTTCAATGCCGTGGCAGCAGGATTGCCTCGCTGCCTGCAGACTGTGGCTGCCGCTGAGAAAGCGGCCCTAGCATCACGTGACCTTGTGGGATACACTGAATTAACTTTGCTTGTGCCCCATGCTGTGTCCCTGATCCTGCTAGAGCAGAGGGCCTCTCGCCTTTCTGCGGCTCGTTGGCTGGGGTACAAAGGGGAGACGCTGCTGTATCGCCACAAGAGAACAGAGATGCACTCCCAGGCCAGACCTGAAAGAGGCGCCTCTGACTAATCCTGACTTGATTGTTGTTTATACAGACGGAGCCGCGTAACGTGACAACACTGGGAAGAACCGAGTCGGCTATGCTGTGTGTTCTGATTTTGATACTATAGACTCTGGTTGAACGGCTGCTGACAGCTGTAATGTTGCCCTTAGAGATCGCTGTATGCAAATGCCACTGAGGGCCACAATAATGCCGCTGATCCCATCTCTGCAGGGAATCGGCGCGCGGACAAGGGAGCGGCATACGCACCTCTACACACACACACACTACCTCACTCAAGACGTTGATATTTTCTCCTCTGTCAGCGATGCAGGCACTGGCTACTTCAGCAGAGACGCTGCTGTGAGAGGGGAATGGGGCTCGACGACGGCATGGTGTGTGTGGCTGGGACCAGGCAGCAAACCGTGCCTACCACGGCATTTCTTCAGACAGTTTGCAATTTTAGCACATGGTCGAGACCAGGCCTCGAAAGGAGGGATGATGTGTGAATTAATCACACAAAATTGGTATACAAAGGGGTTTACGGCATTTGCACAGAGATTCTGCCAAACATGCGCTATATGCCTCGCGCATAACCCAGGTAAGTCCCAAAAGTATCCAACAGGCTGCTCATCCTCCGCCCCTGCGCCCATTTCAACATGTCCAAAGGGACTTTTGTTGAACTCACACCATGCCAAGGTAAGTAATACTGTCTGGGTCTGGCGGATCTCTGGTTCAAATGGACTGAAGTATTTGCAGGCATACACGCCACAAGCAACGCGGTGGGGAAAGCTCTGCCCACAAAAAAAAAAAATTATGCATTGGGGTGTCCCGAGGGAAAATCTCTAGTGACAAAGGCAGCCACTTTGTAGCAAAAGTCATGAGGAAGTGGGTGAATTTCTGGGCATCGATCCCATTCGAAACCCTCTGGGCCAGATCCACCCAACTTGGGCGCGGGACCCCTGAACAGAGATCTGCCAAGCACCTCTTTGTGTGATGACATGCTGTCCTATTGTAAGGAAATTAATGCACTTTTGTCCTCTATTTATGCCAAGGTCCGGAGCGCGCTGCCACAGGCTGCGCAGGCGGCTCCACACAGGATCAAGCCAGGCGACTGGGTCCTGGTGAAGGAAACGAGACGAAAGCATTGGCGGTCCAAGCGCTGGCTCGGCCCATTCCTCGTCCTCCTGGTGACGGACACTGCCGTTAAGGTCGCGGAGAGGACAACTTGGATCCACGCCAACCACTGTCGTGCGGCGCTGCCACTGAGGGCCATAGACGAGGACACCGAGGGCGCGGACGGACCAGGCCCATCCGGGCTCCCTACGCTGCAGAGGTCGGCAGGCGTGCGACCCCCGTCGGTGAAGCAGGCCAACAACAACACCCAGAGAATCCCAGCGTTGCCGAGGCAACCCCCCTTTGCCCAACTCCCCAGCCCCCGGACCCCAAAACCTGGGAACCATGAAGGCCCTGAGCGCTCTGCTCAGCTGCAGCAAGTATGCAGAGCTGCTGCTCATTCCAAAGATTTCTCCAGAGCCTGCTCCCTCTGGCCGATCTGGAGCGTGCTCAAGCTTGCCGCTCCAAGACCAAACATCGCAATGACCACTAACGCTACACACACGCTGATAGGGAGCGGTGCCAATGACTGTGTTCATTATGTTAATATTGTCTTCTCTTACCGCTGTCCGGATCCATTGTGTTATTATAACGTGCTCTTTCTTCTTTTGACAAGCATGTTTCTTTTCTTGTCCACTTTGGACAGCAATAAGTTAAGTGTTTCAAGCTTGAAGGTGATGTGATTATGATGTCTCTGTTATTTAACTGATTAATGCAAAAATGGTTTTGAATTATCAAAAGAGGGGATTGTGATGACAGTTTTCAGAGTAGTCACACATCATAACCAGCCACAGCCAATACGCGGACGTGGAGGGCCTTTCAGATGCAGAGACGCCCTTCTGACGCCATGCTGTGCTTCCTGAAGGTCCCTGCTGCCCTGTCACACCCTTTTGCCTCCTCCATATTATGGCCATTGTCTTGTCTGCTCACACCCCATGCAGGACACACCATAGGGGGTGGTGCCGGCGCTTCCTGTGTGGAGCAGGCTGTGGCCCCCTCCAATCTGTTGTGGGCGGGACTGACTTTCTTGTTGCTCTGTATACACGAGACTGGGGGCTCGGCCCCCAGAGCTAGGAGATACGACCTGTTGGTATGTGTCTGCTTCTCTCCTCACGCGCGTGTGTTTTAATAAACTTACGCTTTTGACTATGACAAACATCTTTGAGTTTTTCTACTGCATTGGGGTGTAATATTCCTCCACACTACTGTTATCAGATAAAGAAGTATTTAAAAAGAGCTTGTTTTGTTAATGCCTTTTGACAGATTAGGGCCATTTAATGATGATTTAACATGAAAATCTTACTTTATTGCTACTTTAAATCTTGAGAACCTACCTTTTTTGCTTCATAAAACCATACGAACTTATAACCTTGATATTCTTACAGTAATTTCTGTGTTACTTTTGTTAAATCTGTCTCGTGTGTTATTGTGAGGGCAAATACAAAATAGAATAGAGGGGAAAGAGTAGACGACAGAACTAGCAAAAAGCAAGATAATGGAATTCGTAACATGCACTGCTCCCGACAGCGGCCTAATCACACCTGATCTGTTCCCATCGTTTGATACATCACTGTTTTAAGTCTGGGGGCCATTTAATGAAGCGCTTTACCCTCCATGGTGAGCAGAAAGATGGCATCGCCTCCTTTGATGAAGTCCCGGCTCCTGGCACGGAGGTGGGTCAGGTACGCCGCGGTCCCAGATCCAGGCCCACGGCAATACTTGGTCCCATCGGGGGCCGGCACCTCTTTACCCACTTTACACGGATCATCCCAGAATAACTGACCCGAAGCTGGAAAAGGAGAATTTGTTAGAGCTCTGTTGTACTTACTGATTTTCTGATTATCTCCCTCCCTTAATGTGCGCGTCCCCAAGGTTTTAGTTGTTCCACGTTGATGCAGGAGGTCTAGGGACAGCGGTGATCCAGGACACTTAAGGACATTTATGGACATTGTTGCTCATCCATCCCATACTGGACCAATGACTCCAATGTGTGTTTATAATCATTGCATCTTCTGTGGTAAAACAGTTTGATTCTTTGATCTATGTTGGCACATCGGTAACTTCCTATAATCCTTCGATTTAGGGCTATACAAAAATAAATGAATTGAATTGAGCTGAATCTTTAAAAAAAGCAATATGTGAACATATCAGTCCACAACATTCTACGGGTCCATTTTATAAAAAAATAAATTAAAAAAAAACGTTTACATACTCTACTGCTGAGATTTGATTGGCCATTTTTAATATTATTTCTGTTTGAAAAAGCGTTTCTAAATACGTGATTAGTCTGAAAGTACATGTGCATGTGAACACTAGTGATAAAAAGGAAATAGTTTGATGGATTCAATGACTGGTTTGAAAGACCGGTTCCCCAGCTTTAAATAACATAATTACTTATTTATTTATTTATTTTTGGGTGGGGTTTGTTTGTGTTTTTGACAGAGGAGTAAACTTATTGAAAGCTAAAGTTCTAAAGCCAACTATGGTACATTAAATTTAAACCAAAAAAGCCTCACTTAAATTTCAAGGGGGTCTCTACATTGGTATGGTTGTAACACAGAGAGAACATGCAAACTCTACTTAGAAAGACCTCTCTGACCAGGATTGAAACCCAGGACCTTTTTACTGAGAAACAAGAGTGCTAACCACTCAACCACTTATCTATCTACATTGGAGACAAGCAAGAGGCATCACTAGGAGACTGTTTGAATGATTCAGGTTTTTGAGCAATAAAAATAGTAATGTTTTACACATGTGATACTACTGTATACAGAGGTACAGTCCAATCAGGCGCTTGACGAAAAGTTGCATACCCTTTAACATTTAATTCTACCCAAAACAAGCTCATATTTTGCTCTCACTTGTCTTTTTGTTGGGGTCGGTGGTCACACTTCTTTGATTGGACATTCTCTTCTGGATGTGCGGGTTCTGGTCCATAAGCATCATGGTCATCTGTTTCCATGGACACGGCCACTTCTGCCCCGTGTCGCCCGGGCGTGACACCAGGTTGGCGTAGGCCGACAGCTCCCCGGGGTTTCCGGCTTTCCCGTTGGGGTACAGCTTCATCTGGAAAGAGTAGCCCTCCTTGGAAGTGAAGGGGGGGCTGAAGATGGCCTTGTCCTCCGCCACGGTGTCCATGACGTGGCTGAAGTTCTGCACTCTCCAGACGAACTCGGGGCAGGTGGTCTCGGACAGGTTGATGTCATCCAGCGACATACCGCCTGCAGGTGTGGCTCCCACTCTCTCTCTGGTGCCTTCGAAAACCACTCGGAATTTTTTCTTTACGTCCAAACTTACGTGGTGCAACTGCCAGAGATCCTGCGGGGGACCTGAGGATGGGAAGACACAGTCGGTATTTTTATCAGACATTTATGAAAACTGATGAACGTTTAAATGTAAAACGTTTCCTTATGTTTTCTTTAGAATTAAGGCTTAGAAGGTTCTTTAAATGGAGACAAACAATGCCAAGAAGCTTAGTTATGGAATCAGGTCGTTAAACAGCACTATCTTAATTACACTTTTGTCCTTTTTTAATATTATTTATTTACATTACAATCAATGCAATCTGTTTTTGTTGTTGTTATTATTGCTAGCCACCTACCCAAGAAAAATAGGAAACAGAAACAGGACAGATATAAAGGAATTTAATCCACTTTTTCTTCCTTACCAAAAGAACCTACTAAGCCTTATTTATAAACTTTTTGTTAAAGCTGTTAAAGCTAGGAAAAAGGCCATGAAGTGCATTGTTCTGATTGGCTGAGTGAGGGTGGTCCTTCCCTTTTTCACTTCTCTGCCTGAAAAAGCTGATCTATAGATATATGACTGACTTAGAGTTAGGAACTAGTTACATGGGTTATATGGCATAGATCCTTTTTTGGTAGTTTAAAAGTTAGGTATCCCAGCTTTAAAAATAAGACAATATTATTAACAGCTTATGCTCACAGTGATGCATTTTAGCCCCACAATATCACCATCAACGAACTCATATGACTCCATCTTGACGTGAAACGGCGTCCTCACCGTCGATGGTGGCGACCAGGCGGAGCTGTCCGTTGGGATGCTCCTTGTCGTATTCCCGGACGTAGATCTTGAGCGTGTCCTCGGAGCTGGCGCTGTTGTAGAAGAAGAACTGCAGGCACTGGAAGCCTCTCTTTGGGTACAGCAGGCGGCTCTCCAACAAGGCACGGTCTCCAGTTTTGGACGAAGCCGTGTCAAAATGCATGAAGAAGCCAGAACCTACAGAAGAACAAAGCACATGTCACTTTAAAGGGCCTTGTACTATTGACAAGATTGCCTTTTTTGAGTTTTTGTCATAAAATGAATCCCTCGTTAACAACATTCCTTGATTTCTTTTTAGCTAATCCACTCCATTATTATAGGCCACTTGCTGTGAAAAGCCAGACCCCATCAGACCTCAGAAACTAAGCAGATCAGGGCCTGGGTTTGTACTGTGATGGGAGACCTCTGGGAACCCCGGGTGCCACAGTAGGGCGGCTGTCTAAGTATGAGTCTGGTTTGTGCGAGAATGATTAGTGGCGATGGAAGGGGCTAGTTACCTGACAATTATTGACAAACAAAATACTTATATTTAATATTAGCATTGCCTTCTCTGGCAAAGAATAACATATGAATAAATGATTAAATAAAATACTGTTATTTAAGAATATAAGTTTATTAATTTGGAGATAAAGGAGGAACAATGTGTATTAATGAACATGTAACTCTTCCTTAAGTCAAGCTCCGTTTGCAGACCGCCCGACAAGAGGATGTAACACAAAACACAAGCTATACAAAGAATAAATCAAATTGAAATGAATGCTATAGTTTGTCAATCAGTGTCAGTGTCAATTTATTTCAGACATTTTTTACAATTCAAAAACAATTTCAGGCACTTCGGGAACAAGGGGCAAAAGAAGGTCTGAAAAAGGAAATAGGCAGAAGCTAAAACTTATAGACGCCTTAAATATCTGCTACACACAATAATGTTTGTAAACCCCGTAGAACCCAGACATAAAAATAGAAAAAAAAAATTATTTTTGCTATTTTTGGAAAGCAGCATTAAATCACCAAATTTAGCAACGTAGCATATTAGCTTCTTTGGCTTCTTGGGTACCTGCATCAATGAAATGTATTCAACCATAAAGTCATACTTATTTTGCCATAACCGTTGAACTTTACGTTATATATTTGTAACCGAGGGTGCTACGGGGCGGCAAGATTATGGAAACCTAATCTAATGAAATCCCCTTTAATATTTTTAATGTTTTGTCTTCAGATGCCTTGGACAAACGTAAATGCTTGGTGCACTATACTTGCCTGTACATTTGCCCAGGTTGGAGTAGTCGGTGGTGGGACCTCCAGCGGCTGCGGAGACCCGGGTCCAGTCCGCTGTGTCTCCAGGTCCTTGGATCATCCCACAGATATTCTCTCGCTCAAAGTCACACGAGTCCAGGAAGGTGGAGGCCTTAGCTGCGACCATAAAACAAAGACTTTGGACTGCTATAAAACACTTCTATATGATTATGGAGCTAACCGTTATTGGCTTCTTGAGTGTGTGATGTAAGTTTTTACCCCTTTTGTGGTGTCTTTGAGTCAAAAAGACCCGCAGTGATTCAAAGTTGAAGAAAAATACCCTAAATTAGGACATAAAAGGGTCTGGGTCAGGTCAATCAAGAAAAAAATCATAAAAATTCAGCTTGGAATTATTTTTTTAGAGTATTTTTGAATCACGGTGCTGGGTCAATTTGACACAAGGAAAGTGGGCTTGTTCACACTAAAGGACACAAAAGTGTGACAAAAGGCCAAAAAATAGATTTTAATAATCAGAAGATATTTTATGTTTTGCATGTTACCAAGCACCTCCTCTGTCCATTAGAAGTTGCTAGAACATAACTGTTTTATACATTAGACAAGTTTCCTATAGCGGCCCTGTTTATTTTATGGAACGGACGTGATGATTTGACGGAATGGGCTTTGTGGAAGTTTGATAGGTATTTTCAGATGTCCACATTTGATTAAGAGATTCTATTTTTTTACACAAAGTAGATGCAAAGTGATACTTTCATATTGTCAACCAATTAAATGTGAAAACAGACCAGATTTTTTTTTTCTCAAGTTTAATTTTTAGAGAAAAGAGGACCGCCCTCATCACGTCCGTTATACATTTTTCAGGGGTCATTTAATTAATTAATGAATTTGTATTTTTTTTACGATTCCTTTTTATATCAAGTGATTTACTTATATTGTGTTAACCATGTAAATCTTGTGGGATTTCATATTCTGCTTTTTCAGACTGAGGACATTTTATTTTCTATGTAACTGGCGTCACAGTAGAATGGTCCAATCAGAGGCTAATTTGGTCGTTTAAAATGTTGCTAAACATTTTTATGTCAATCTTTCCTTTTGATTTTTTCCACACTATCTCTTCAATGTGTCTGTGTTTGAAATCTTTTTTCCAATCTATGAAAGTAATTTTAGTTTTTAAGTTATAACCTTTTAAAGTCCAGATACTTCAATTGCCACTTTACTGTGAACACACTCAAGTACAAGGGTTTACTTTTATTTTTTTTACATTTTCACTCCATCCGGGACTCTGCATTATTACTTTTAAAATTATTTCAGAGTTAAAGAAAAAAGTTTTTAATGATGTGTCTTTCAGTTGAAACCCGCGCACTGTGGAAAATAGTTACCAGGTCACGAGTGAGCCCTGTCCTCAAACTATGGGAACTTGGTAATTTTCAAAACTGCTCCAGGGATTTTAAATGTGTCCTGAAAACCTTAACTCCGCCCACTTCAAGGCACCATGGTTACGATCATTGTCATGGCCCGTAACAGCACTAAAGAAACAAAGCAAGATAGAAAAACATATACAGTATCTATCGTCAAATATACTGTTTTGGCACATTTTTGTGACTTTATGAGACTGACTGAGTGGTTATGATCCAGGACACTCAACATTTAACGACATTTATAGACATTCGTCGTCTGCCGCTTATGAACCAATGTCTCTTCGTTTTTTATCATTGCATTTCTTGTGTTTGAACTGTTTGATTCTGTATAATAATAATAATTTGTGTTCGCAAATTTGATGTTTTTTTTAAAAGTCTTTACAAAAATCACGTCCGAGAAATCAAGTGCTGGGAGAATTGCATTTGTTGGCCAAGCTCAATCAATCAATCAACTTGTAGAGCGCCCTTCTTACACAAGGCAACACAAAGCGCCTCACGACCCACATCAAGCTTAAATCATGAACATTAAAATCTACGTAAACATAAAATAATCCAGTTAAAATCCCACAGGGCATTAAAAACACACAATAAGATACCAAGAGAGATTAAAAAACAGCTCTGCCAAATATAGGACCTTAACCATTCCTACTGTCGCTTTGAATCTGCAATAACGAAAATTGTGCAATAACAGGATGCGTTCAATAATCTGATGTGTGCAAAAACAAGATGTGTGTAATAACAACATGTGTGCAATAATTGATATGTGCAATAATCTGATGTGTGCAATAACGGGATGTGTGCAATAATCTGATGTGTGCAATAACAAGATGTGTGTAATAACAAGATGTGTGCAATAATTGATATGTGCAATAATCTGATGTGTGCAATAATCTGGTGTGTGCAATAACGGGATGTGTGTAATAACAAGATGTGTGCAATAATTGATATGTGCAATAATCTGATGTGTGCAATAACGGGATGCGTGCAATAATCTGATGTGTGCAATAACAAGATGTGTGCAATAACAAGATGTGTGCAATAATAGATATGTGCAATAATCTGATGTGTACAATAACGGGATGCGTGCAATAATCTGATGTGTGCAATAATGGGATGTGTGGAATTACAAGATGTGTGCAATAACCTGATGTGTGCAATAACGAGATGTGTGCAATAACGAGATGTGTGCAATAACTGGATGTGTGCAATAATTGATGTGTGCAATAACGGGATGTGTACAATAACGGGATGCGTGCAATAATCTGATGTGTGCAATAACAAGATGTGTGTAATAACAATATGTGTGCAATAATTGATATGTGCAATAATCTGATGTGTACAATAACGGGATGCGTGCAATAATCTGATGTGTGCAATAATGGAATGTGTGCAATAACGAGATGTGTGCAATAACAGGATGTGTGCAATAACGAGATGTGTGCAATAACAGGATGTGTGCAATAACGATATGTGTGCAATAATTGTATGTGTGCAATTGTTGAGTGTGTGCAATGATGTGGACGTTTTTTGTTTGTTATTTTCCTCTTTTGTCTCTGACCCTAACCCTGTGGGAATACAGATGGAAATGAGCCTTTTGCTATAATCTGGCATGTTTACATTCATGTGTTTAATCTGTTCATTGACATGCACTGTCCCATTCAAGTAAATAAATAATACATAAATGAACGTCTGTATTGCACACACTCACTGCAGTTGTAGAGGCGGCTGAGCTTGAGCAGGTCACTGTCGCTAAATTCCATGCGTTGACCAATCACGTCGCTGAAGGCCGCAATCTTGGTGACGATGGTGGGCTCGGTGCCGTTGCGGAAGGCCGTCTTGCTGTAGTGCATCATGGAGCCGTAGTCGTAGGGAACTCCCAGGGAGTTGGACGTGGTGTCGTTGTACGTGTTGAAGTTGTGCTCTCGACCTTGAGGAAATAGAGTTTTTTTTTTGAATGACAAATCACAAAAATAATCTATTGGAATAATGTTTGTACCATGTCTTAAATTATATTTCTTTGAATAAGCTGGGTGTCCTTCAGTGCATGGCCATGGAGACAGAAGTGACGTTTTTTTTCTCTTCTTATTCACCAAAACAAACATAATAGCGAGGAAGTGACAAATTGCATAATATAGAAGCAATGCTAATCAATATTTATATAAGATTCATACAGATTAGGAACGAAGAAAAGTAAAGGGATAGTGTGTGTGTGTGTGTGTGTGTGTGTGTGTGTGTGTGTGTGTGTGTGTGTGTGTGTGTGTGTGTGTGTGTGTGTGTGTGTGTGTGTGTGTGTGTGTCCCTATTTTTGCTGGATGTTGCCAAAGAAACAAGGACATTTTTGGAAATAAGTTTTGTGAATATTGAATAGATAATAAACAAGCAGAGAAAGACCTGATTTTCATTTACACAAGTTTTTCTAACAATGCTTTATTTTCTAATTAAGAAGACAGCGTGGAGTGGCCTGGGTTCTGCCATTAATTCACTCTTTTGAAAAATAAATAATAATAATCCAAAATCCACGAATTGAAATGACAAATGTATTGACCCTCATATTTCAAACAAGTTGTCATTGGACGATAAAAATAATGTGGTATTTTTAAATATTATGTTTTCGCTTTGGATGTTTTTTAAGCACGAAGTCCAAACTAAAGCTGCCTGTTTTCTTGGTTCTCAGGTATGATTGAGTGATAAGCAGTACTATTTACTGCCTAATCTCTCCTTATAAAGTCATTAAGCTCTGTCTGACCTATGATAAACTCACCTGATGGATTATTTTTATTCTATTATTGCCTTTGTAACCACTAAACAACTTTAAAAGGCTGAAGTCAAAAGTATAAATGAAATAAAACACAATTCAATGCATTGAACTGCCTGCTGTCAGACTGTACAATGAGAACTGCTGAGCCTGTAAATGTCATTCATCTGTAAATAAGTATATATTAAAATCATGTGCAATGTGCAATACTGCAATTTCAGTAAATATTTTAAATATATTTTATTTTTGAGAGACTGGTATTGAAGCATTTACTGCATTTACAGCTAGCTAAGAAACACTACTACTTATTTTGTATTTTGCATATTTTTGTGTGCTCCCTGTGTGCTCTTACTACTGTCCTGTATGTGCGCTGCCACATTGACATTTACCCACTGTGGGACGAATAAAGGTTCTCTTATCTTATGTTTTGAGAATAAATATACACTGCAAAAAGTGATGAAAAATAAGTTTAAAAAAATATCCAATTTGGCTAAATGTATCTTGATGTAAGCACAGTTTGACTGCCTTAAAACATGATTTTCCAATGGTACAAGCAAAATGATCTTGTTTTAAAAGAGTACAATAAATAAAAAGCAACAGTTCTTGAAATATGACTAAATAACTTGGGCCCATTGTCCCAACACTGAGCATTTATTACCTCATATTCTACTGTATCATTTTTTGCAGTGTATTAATGAGAGTCCGTCATGTATTGTCTCTGTGTGTTTTTGGAACAGTTTGTGTTCTCCCTCTCTGGACCACACTGTGAACTTTGTGCATCAGTTTCAGTGAAATGTTGATACGCTTCATTAAATTTGTATACGTGTGTCCAGAGCTCCACGTTTATTGTCTCATCATAACGTCCTGTTCTTATGCTACACACTTTGTTTAATTAGTTATTCACATGAACCGAATTGGCATCGCTGGGTTCTGTAGGACTGGGCCTCATCAAAGGCTCTCGTGAAAGAAGTGAAAGAAGTGAAAGAAAAGGTTTGTCGGAATTTTGACAGATGATGTTTGGGCCGAAAAGTCCAAGTACATTTTCAACGTTTATCTAAATCTCGAGCCGATGTTATGCATGTATTTGTTCTTGTGTCACTGATAAAAGCAAAGTCATAAAGTCCAAAGGGAATACGCTTAAACATTCAGAGATTATTTATGATTTGTGTTTGCAACCAGTTATTTTCCAATTTGTAAAAAAAACCATGTTATTTCTCTGGTGGTTGCATTGGGAGTTACAGGCAAAACACTATTTATGCATTTTTTTATGTCAATAATATGTTTTTTGCGTAGTTGATCTTGTAGTGACAGAGCAACTGAATGAGTGGACACATGGACCTATACAACTAAAATATATACACTGAACCATTACCTTTCTTCCACATAAAAAGTTACGTAATGCACCTTTAACATTTTGTTTCATGTTCTAAAACATGAAATCATAAAGAAAATTATAATTTTCGGCAGCCAAAAATAATGCATATTAGGTCTTCTATTAAAGAATGCCAACAACAAGGATTCCAATGACTTTCATAGATATCCATACCTACCTAGCCCGGCCTTAGCTATCCGTAAACTCAATTATCATTTCCCTACATACATACCGATGATATGGTAAGACCAGGCTAATACCTACCCATATCATACACGTATGTATATTTACTATGGTTATTAGGCCTAAATCTGAAAAACCAATCCCCTCAAAAGCGTTCACAGTGCTGTAGTTACCTTCAGAGATGCGGTCCCACATAATCTCCACGTAGTCGTCACGGTCCGACCTGGACTGCTCGTGCCAGAAGCCCAGCGCGTGGAGAAACTCATGCTCTATGGTGGCGATGCGGTCACAGTTGGTGCCTATGGACAACCTCTGCTTCCCCACATGTCGATTACCCACGGACGAAAAGCAACTGGGAGAGAAACACATATATGTATGTAATAAAAACAACCCAAAGGAAATTTAGTTTTTACCAATGATGATAATAATAATAATAATAATGCATTGGTTTTATAAAGTGCTTTTCTTGGACATTCAAAGATGCTTCACATGTCATTATTCATTCACTCCATGCACGGTGGTGACAAGCTCCTATTGTAGCCACACCTGCCCTGGGGCACACTACAGAAGCAAGACAACCCTTACGAGCCGCTCCGACCAACACACACACACACACACACACACACACGACAATGTTCCCAGCCTTATCCGCCCCACTGTGGCACCTCCTACTCCCATAGGTCTCCCATCTCAGTACTTAACCAGTCCCTGCCCTGCTTAGCTTCAGAGGTCTAACAAGATCTGGCTTCTCACATGCAGGTATGGCCACAGTCACAACCACAACCACTCTGCAGAAACTTCATTTTCTTTCACACTTTACCCGCTTCCTTTAAAGATGGAGATATAGTTCTGCTCCCCACTCCAAGGCTGAAAGTCGATGCATGTCTTGAGTCGGTATTGCTCGAACGCCTTCAAGATTACACCTTTGGCATTGATTTCTATAAAACATACGACGTCATTCCACCTTACAAGCAGCCAAGGTTAAATGGGCACTTCTTATATTTTTACAGTTACCCAAGTCGTCCTCCATGTAGTAAGGCACTGTCCTTGGCCACCTATATTCTTCTCCAATGATAGAATTCCTTGTTTGTTTCTGCGGCAGTCAATACAGCTGTGAGTGAAAGTGAATTTTTTGTTTGTGTTCAATTTCTAAAGAGAAAAGGCAATATACACCTCGTCCAGTACAATGTCTCCCTCTGCCAGATTCAAGCCGGCCGCTGCGCAGAACAAAAGGGTTATCGACGATGTTTACAGAAGAATGTGGAATAAAAGAGGCGGGAATTGGGCGAGTACCTTCGTTAATGTCGAATATGTCGAGGTCTCGTCCCCCGTCCACGTCGTGATCTGTGAAAACACGGTAAAGAGGAGTTATTAAACTGATGTGTGTGTGGGGGGGGAATATATGTACATACTTATAACTACATACTTTTTGCTTTTTTCATCCTTTTATTAAAAAATGTTATTATCCTCATGGCTTACTTTGTTTTTGTCTTTTTCTCTCTCTTTTTTCTTTTCTTATATCTCTGTGTGAGTGTAAGGATTATGTTGAAAAACGCAACAAAAAACATTGCTAATAAAAATAGAAAATAATTATAATATGCTCTACCTGTGAGACATAATACGCACTGCTACTTTTGAGCTCCTCTGCGTACAGTCTGACACTAAAAAATGTTCAAGTAAAATAACAATGACTAATGGATTTTCAATGATTAGAAAATGAGAAAAAAAAATGTCACTGTTTTTTTTTTAACCACGTCACTGAAACGGGAGAAGAAAAAAAACACAAGGCAAAACAAAGTTATCTTCTAATTTTATTTGAATTTATTTAATTAATTCCCACCGGCTGACATATTGGAATTATGAAAAAAAAATACCAGAGAAAATTATGTCAAGATGAATAACTAAATAAAAACAGACACTAAAAGTACATTGCGTGACTCCTGGCTGAATGGGAAGTTTCCCGGCCGCTCCGGTTTCCCCCACCACCCAAACAATCCATCATAGATTTTAAAAAAAACAAAATTGTCCATGTCTGATACAGTTGGGGTAGATCTGGGCCTGGTGGCATTGAAGAATGGGACAAATTTCCATACACGGACATTAGTTTTGTTTTTACCATTTGACACTGTGGAATAAGGGGCTAAAAACAAACACAAACTTAAAGCTGGGGTACCTCACTATTTTTCCCAGAACCCTGTACAGCACTATTTGGCGTTTTGGGCTGAGAGCTGATTGGCTGAGTGAGGGTGGTCCTCTCTTTTTCAATTTTTTTTTTTTTTTTTTTCATGAAACTGAACATACATATACAACAGTTTTGAGAGAATGAATTGCATGGATTTTAATTCAGTTCCATGGTTGTGGTGGTTTGAAAGTTACGTACCCCAGCTTTAAACTGATAATGTTCAAAATAAGCAAAGTGCGGAGTTCAAACTGACGTCAGGGAAATAACTTGCGCGGCGAGAAGATTCACATCTGATGAAGCGATATATGTTCTTCTCTCCGCGTCCAGTGTCCAGTATTTCTTTGTAGATCTAACAAATTAGCCTTCTATCTGTTTCTATTTCAAATCACAAAAACAATAACAAAAAGAAAGAAAAAGTATTCCGCCTTGATAAAAAATCTGTACAATCCGTATACTCTGTGATTGTTATGATATTTGCCTCAGCTTTTCTACACTTCCATAGAGCACTTGAATGTATTTTTTCCGTGTATCAATTGTATGCATTGCTCTGAACCCAAATAAACAATCCAAACTGAACTTTTAGATTAAGATAAGATAAAAAAAAACTTACAATGGAGAAATGTCCAATTAAAAAACAGATATATGGTAACTTATGTACAATTGAGGAAGAAAATGTGTCTTATGTTTTGAATGGGGGATTGTTGTTTAAACCTAATCTTTGCTCCTATGATCAGTCCATGTTATAAATGTTTAAATATCAACAGATACTTTAACATGTATTTTATGTGAAGTAGGATCTTTGATGACAATGATCTCTCAAGTCTAAAGTCTATGTCTCTTCAACAACAACTTTACAACATGAACCTATAAGTAGGGGTTGAAATCCTACCACACTTACCACTTTTATGTACTGCTAATCAGACCAAAACTTTGATAATGTGAACTCTAAAGTCTCAACATAAGAAGCAAACGAGAGATGGTAGGATTTAAAGTGATATTTACGTTTTTCTTTACAGGTGAAAATTAAAATTTTCCCTGAAAATGCAACACCACATGATACAGACTCATTCCCTGCAAAGGCACATATCCCAAGCCTGTGTTATAATTTCTTTGCAGGTTTTATTTGGGTAATTTTTTTGCAAGCTGTGAGCCATAATTATCAACATTATTTCCCAAGTTTCACCTGTATTTAAAAGGAACAATGCTAAGTCGAAGTCATTTTCATACCTCAGTAGACCTGCATTAAAGATACCAGCGCATGTGAAAAGAACAACAATAAAGCAGAGAAATAGATTTGTTTTTTCATTTACCTTCAATGGCTGGAGTGGGCTGCATAGAATCAGAAAAAATGGTGTTAGTTCAAAACATGTGATGAAATGGCAGGTGTTGTTTATAGAATAACTCACCAGGCTAAGTGTAGTTGCCCAAAAGCAGCACAGGTACAATAAACATGCAGCTCTGCCCCCTGCCATTGCCCCCTAAATCGGACGACTATTTTCTCGTGCTCCGTGAATGAGTGAACTCCGGAAAATACTCACAAAAAAGTAACTAAGATGAAGCAGTGTGAAGTGTTACCTCCGGCTGTCAATCAGTCACAAAGCTGTAAAACTTATACAGCCTGCGGTCTTTGTGCTATCGCTTAACATGGCACTGATTACACAGACGACAGAAGAAAAACATAATCTAACAGGGATTTACATTTGAGAAAAAATTTGACAAAAAAATTGAGAAATGCAACTGAGAATTTGTCACTCAATAAACCCAATTAGACCGAATCAAATATTCAGCACAAACTCAACAACAATGAAATAGCCACAGTACGCACGCAGAGAATGTAACTCTGAAACTGCACTGCGCATTCAAACCAAGGGAATTCTGGATATAATCCCCAAAAAGTGAGTCCCCCCCCAGTTTTTATTACAAGTCAGATTTTATGGTGAATATATCTGCAATACAGGAAAAAAAAACAGTTTGTAGACAGGCTATAACACATGCTAACGACAGGTAAACAGTGTGTTGCTATGGTAACCAGCACCGGCTCCACTGGCCCACTCCAGGACCACTCCAGGCCCACTCCAGACCCAGTTCAGGCCCAGTCCACACTCACACAGACGCAGAGGAGTCCGTGTGTCATATGGATAAAGTGGGATGGATGTTAAATGCATAATTCTGTTTTGAAGGTTCCATTCCCTAACTGTCCTGGTGATCACCTGCTTTAAGAGACATAGATATGTTTCTGCTTTGCTTGAAATGTCATTTGTTTTATGTAAATTCCTATGTGAGATTTTAGAAGAAAAGATTAAAATTGATAGTTGTTTTAACTGTCAATCCATCCCCTCCAGACTGGACTACTGCAACAGCCTCCACTTCGGCCTCCCTTCCACTCATCTTCAAAAACTATAATCCATTCAGAACTCTACCACCCTGCCTGCTCACCCACACCCGCTCCAGAGACCACATCACCCCCGTCCTCAAACAACTCCCACTGGCTCCCTGTCCCATACTGCATCCAGTACAAGGTCCTCCTTCTCACCTGCAAGTCCCTCCATAACCACGGCCCCTTCGTACCTCACTGACCTCCTCCATCATCACTGTCCCTCCCGCTGCTTCAGATCCACAGACTCCAAACCTCCTCACTCCACTCAGGACTAAACACCGAACCTTGGGGGACCGAGCCTTCGCTGCAGCTGCCCCCACTCTCTGGAACTCACACCATCTACCCATCAGAAATTACGACTACACTACAGAACTTTAAATCTCTTCTAAAAACCCACCTCTTTCAGCCTTTTCTTAATTCTGTGTCTCAATGTTTATTTCTATGTGTTTTGTAAAGCGTCTTTGAGTGTCCAAAGATGCGCTGTATAAGTTTGATGTATTATTATTATTATTTTAATAAGTATAGCTATGATTAATTTACCTTGTGCTGTGTGCTCCTCATTCCTACTGTTCTGTAACTTGTGATGCAACACTGGAATTTCCCCGCTGTGGGACTCTGTAGAATGAAAAGTGTCTGTGCAGAGAAAAAGCCTTGTCCTATGTATTTTAATCTTGTTTTAACACAGTAAGATAAAAACACCAGATTCAAGCATTAATTACCTCATAATTTATCATTTTTTGCAGCGTTCTAAACATTCACAGAGAAATGCCACAAGATTGTACGTAGCTGTCAAAAGTTTAAATGTTTCAAGTGTGTGTTTGTATCTATTGTGTGGCCTAATCTATTGGGTTTCCTCAAAGGCACCATGAAATAAAATGCATATTTATTATCATTCAAAGTATCAAGAATCAGATATTAGTCAATACTTAAACTAGTTACTCATTTCAGAAAGTATCGATCTTGAACATAATAAAACAGTAAACACGTGAGACTCTTTGAGCAGTTTTCAAAAATATATATAAAACGCTACCATTAAAAGTGCCAAAAAAAAAAATCTTCTCCGTGCTAATGCAGGAGGGTCGAAGGGGCAATTATAATGATACACACAAACACAACTAAACAGAAATACACTTTCTGACATTTTATTGAACACAAAGTAAGTGTCAGTCAAGTAAATCGGTCAATAAGTACAACAAATTATAACATATCAAAACACAAAGGCAAAGGGACAAATTTGTTAATTTTCACTCAATAAACCCAATTAGACCAAATCAAATATTCACACAAATCAAATAACTCAACAACAATGAAAATTTTATATTAATAGGCAGAAAATTGAACTCTGAACTTGAAACTATTCGAAAATTATGGAAAAATGTTGAACTATGGAAAAACTCTGAACTTGAAACAAAGGTAATTGTGGAAAAAATCCCCAAAAAGTGAAGTTTGTTTAAAAGTGATATATTCACTAGCTAAAACTGGTGAATTTATCTGCCATACAGAAAAACATGCTAACTGCATGTAAACAGTGTGTTGCTATGGTAACTGGCACCGGCTCCAACAGCTCTGACACAGGCCCAGTCCAGGACCGGTCCACACTCACCCAGACGCGACGGAGTCCGTGTGGCAGTCGAAGAAATTATCCATGGTCTGAAAACACAAACACAACATCAGAATGAATGAAAAAACTGGAACCCAGAGGTCCTGAGCTTTACAAAGAGGTTTCAACATGGCCACGTGGGTGGAGCTGGAGTTGGCTGGATTGTTATAAAGTCACTACTTCCCATCATAACGTCACTTTACTGCTGTCACCTTCTTGCACTGCTTGCTGCATATTGTGTATTGTATTTTGTATATGGTAAATTGTAATCATTTTCATTTTAATTTTTATACCTTCGAAGTGTTTGCTGATTTTTATTATGCCTTACTCTACTCTTCACCGCTCTTCTTTGACTGTTGCATCAAGAGCCAAAGCTATTTATTAGTCTGTGACTTCCTGTTCCTTACATGGCAATAAAAATGGTTCTAATTCTGATTCTGACACTATAAAGTATGTTTATGATGTAAAATACCGGTTTGACCTGGAGCCACCAAACATGGGCCTGAGCTCCTGCGCTGGAAGCTCTAATATTACAATGGTGTATCTCTCATCTTCATTTTCTTAGTGAACAATATTATTTAATTCCAAATTTAATTCCCGATATTGTAACCCTAACCCTAACCCTACATTGAGATGTTGCTCTACTCCAGGGCGCCTCCTACAGGGAGACCCAGGACACAGAGGGACTGTCTCTCAGATGGGAACGCCTCAGGATTCCCCTGGATGAGCTGGAGAATGTGTGTGTGTGTGAGTGTGTGTGCGTGCGCATGTGTGTGTGCACGTTTATGTATGTGTGTGTAGTGAAGTGTGTACATCAGGGCAGATGTCGTAGTCTGTGTGTGTGTGTGTGTGTGTGTGTGTGTACCTCGGGGCAGATGTCGTGGTCCAGGTCCTGTTGCAGGTCCCTGAAGAACTCCATGCCCCATTGTGGGAACAGGTCTAAGACTCTCTGCAGAGCTTCCAGACTCAGAGAGTGGACGGTGCAGCCGCCCACAACCTGCAGCGTGTCACGGGACACAGGACTCTTCCTCATCTGCCAGGTTCCAAACAACGCTCCTGGGCCTGAAACATTCACCTTTCATTAACATTTGATTCAATCCAATAAATTAAAAAAAACAGTTTGTGGACACTCCACATTCAACCACATTTATGGACATTGGTCTCTGCTCCTTATGGACCAAAGTGTTTGAACTGTTTGATTTTCTGATCTGTGTTGGAGAATCAACGGTTGTGTAAAGTCCTTTATGACTACTGTTGTGATTCAGGGCGAGACAGGAAAAAATGAAATAGAATTGATCCAAGAACAAACCTAGTAAGTCTCCATTCGGCAGCTGCAGCGCTCCACTGCTGACCATGTGCAGCGCCTGCACCACCTCGCCTTTGTGGATGAACACGTCTCCATGGCGATGGGTGGAGACGCTCACATGAAGGGCCAGATCCTTCTTCACTCTGGCGTCGCCGCGCTTGAACAGGGGCCGGTCCAGGATTTGGCGAAACAAGTGCAGGTGGATTTTACTGTAGATGTCCTCCGGGAAATCCTGGAGCAGCTGCAAGTTTAGAGATGTCAGTTTAGAGTTGTCACTTTAAAGATGTCACTTTAGAGATGTCACTTTAGAGATGTCACTTTAGAGATGTCACTTTAGAGAAGCAGGAGGAAGATCCAGGACACTCCACAGTCCACATTTATCAACAGTCTTTGGTCTTCTCCTTATGGACCAATGGCTCTGTGAGTTTTGTATCATTGAATTTCTTGTGTTTTAACATGTTGCACACTTCCAGTCATTTTGCACCTGATTAATATATTCATGCCAAATGTACATTTCTCCATTGTGAGATAAATAACGTTTATCTTAAATTCGAACGGTTTGATTCTCTGACCTGTGTTGACAAATTCAACCGTTTGAAAAGTCCTGTACAAGAATAAAATGAATTGAATTGCATTTATCCAAAGCCCATCTCACCACTTGGTGCTTGATCCCCTGAGACGCCCAGGTGTTTTTGGCGTAGCAGCGCATAATTCTGCTCAGGTCCTCCGGAAACTGGTGCTCTGTGATGAACTTTTTTAGCTCATTCATGCGGACGTGGAAGTTGGAGAGACCGGCGTAGAGGCGGTAGATTATGGCTGACACGTTCCCAAAGATGAGGGCATGCATCAGAGCTGCAGAAGAGTCAGACAAAAACTTTAAGATATTTGATTATGATACAAAAACTCTGACTGCTGCAGCTGTTCTGTAAACAAGACTCAGACCTCCTCACTCCCTCAGACCCACAGACTCAGACCTCCTCACTCCCTCAGGTCCACAGACTCAGACCTCCTCACTCCCTCAGACCCACAGACTCAGACCTCCTCACTCCCTCAGACCCACAGACTCAGACCTCCTCACTCCCTCAGGTCCACAGACTCAGACCTCCTCACTCCCTCAGGTCCACAGACTCAGACCTCCTCACTCCCTCAGGTCCACAGACTCAGACCTCCTCACTCCCTCAGACCCACAGACTCAGACCTCCTCACTCCCTCAGACCCACAAACTCAGACCTCCTCACTCCCTCAGGTCTACAGACTCAGACCTCCTCACTCCCTCAGGTCCACAGACTCAGACCTCCTCACTCCCTCAGGTCCACAGACTCAGACCTCCTCACTCCCTCAGGTCCACAGACTCAGACCTCCTCACTCCCTCAGGTCCACAGACTCAGACCTCCTCCCTCCCTCAGGTCCACAGACTCAGACCTCCTCACTCCCTCAGGTCCACAGACTCAGACCTCCTCACTCCCTCAGGTCCACAGACTCAGACCTCCTCCCTCCCTCAGGTCCACAGACTCAGATCTCCTCACTCCTTCAGGTCCACAGACTCAGACCTCCTCCCTCCCTCAGGTCTACAGACTCAGACCTCCTCACTCCCTCAGGTCCACAGACTCAGACCTCCTCACTCCCTCAGGTCCACAGACTCAGACCTCCTCCCTCCCTCAGACCCACAGACTCAGACCTCCTCCCTCCCTCAGGTCCACAGACTCAGACCTCCTCACTCCTTCAGGTCCACAGACTCAGACCTCCTCACTCCCTCAGGTCCACAGACTCAGACCTCCTCACTCCCTCAGATCCACAGACTCAGACCTCCTCCCTCCCTCAGACCCACAGACTCAGACCTCCTCACTTCCTCAGACCCACAGACTCAGACCTCCTCACTCCCTCAGGTCTACAGACTCAGACCTCCTCCCTCCCTCAGACCCACAGACTCAGACCTCCTCACTTCCTCAGGTCCACAGACTCAGACCTCCTCACTCCCTCAGGTCCACAGACTCAGACCTCCTCCCTCCCTCAGGTCTACAGACTCAGACCTCCTCACTCCCTCAGGTCCACAGACTCAGACCTCCTCCCTCCCTCAGGTCTACAGACTCAGACCTCCTCACTCCCTCAGGTCCACAGACTCAGACCTCCTCACTTCCTCAGACCCACAGACTCAGACCTCCTCACTCCCTCAGGTCCACAGACTCAGACCTCCTCCCTCCCTCAGACCCACAGACTCAGACCTCCTCCCTCCCTCAGGTCCACAGACTCAGACCTCCTCACTCCTTCAGGTCCACAGACTCAGACCTCCTCACTCCCTCAGGTCCACAGACTCAGACCTCCTCACTCCCTCAGATCCACAGACTCAGACCTCCTCCCTCCCTCAGACCCACAGACTCAGACCTCCTCACTTCCTCAGACCCACAGACTCAGACCTCCTCACTCCCTCAGGTCTACAGACTCAGACCTCCTCCCTCCCTCAGACCCACAGACTCAGACCTCCTCACTTCCTCAGGTCCACAGACTCAGACCTCCTCACTCCCTCAGGTCCACAGACTCAGACCTCCTCCCTCCCTCAGGTCTACAGACTCAGACCTCCTCACTCCCTCAGGTCCACAGACTCAGACCTCCTCCCTCCCTCAGGTCTACAGACTCAGACCTCCTCACTCCCTCAGGTCCACAGACTCAGACCTCCTCACTTCCTCAGACCCACAGACTCAGACCTCCTCACTCCCTCAGGTCTACAGACTCAGACCTCCTCCCTCCCTCAGACCCACAGACTCAGACCTCCTCACTACCTCAGGTCCACAGACTCAGACCTCCTCACTCCCTCAGGTCCACAGACTCAGACCTCCTCCCTCCCTCAGGTCTACAGACTCAGACCTCCTCACTCCCTCAGGTCTACAGACTCAGACCTCCTCACTCCCCCAGACCCACAGACTCAGACCTCCTCACTCCCTCAGGTCCACAGACTCAGACCTCCTCACTCCCTCAGGTCTACAGACTCAGACCTCCTCACTCCCTCAGGTCCACAGACTCAGACCTCCTCACTACCTCATTGGCGGCACGGTGGCTGAGTGGATAGCACTCTCGCCTCTCAGCAAGAAGGTCCTGGGTTCGAATCCCGGCCGGACCAGGGCCTTTCTGAGTGGAGTTTGCATGTTCTCCCTGTGTCTGCGTAGGTTTCCTCCGGGTACTCCGGTTTCCCCTACCACTAAAAATATGTACAATAGGTCTGGCATGCGCCTCCTGTTCGGCGACCCCGCTCCCATCTCTGTGTGGAGTGAGAGACAAGTGCCCAAAAAATAACAATTGTAAACCGCTTTGTGACTCTGGTCTGTGAAAGGCGGTATATAAATAAAGCTTACTTACTTACTTACTAGAAAATACGGCAACATTTCTGTAAATGAGACTAAATGGCTTTGGCCCATTGGAGAATCTTGTTTTACCACAGAATGTACACAAACTGGAAACAATAACATTCAATTAAAACATTTTTTTAATCTCATATTTGATCATTTTTTGCAGTGCAATAGTAGTTTGTGTTTGTCTGAACACGTGTGGATGTGCAGTACCTCCAGACAACATGAGGCAGGTGGCAAACCACTTTTCAGGTTTGGTTTGGGGACTGATGTTCCCAAAGCCCACAGTCGTCATGCTGCTCACGGTGAAGTACAAGGCCCCCGTGTAGGCATCTGCCTCCGAGAGACCCCCTGTCCTGTTGGCCATGTATGACCGCTCCAGCCTCTCTGCCATTTGGGCCAGCCACCCTGAGGAGGAGAGAAATCATCACAAATCGTGCTGCACAAATCATGACATTTGTATTTGTTAAACAAGAGTCCTAAGCAGGGGTGGGCCGTTCATTTTTCCGGGGGGTCACGTTAAGATATCGGCATATTATTGTGGAGGTTCTGACACGGACACACACACACACACACACACACACACACACACACACACACACACATGTAGACACACACAATACAAAAGCTACAACCTCAATGTGTGGATTTAAAATGACCTTTAAAACAATCTACTTAATAAATGTAACATATTGCAGTCATTTGCCGATGTGGCCAGTAAATCCTTTCAACAGTAGTTTTCTTCTACAAAACAGTGGATTCTCCAACAACAGATCAGCAAATTAAACAGCTCAAATGTAAGAAATGCAAGGATAAAAAACGCATAGAGCCATTGGTGCATATTATAATGGGGGAGAGACCAAAGTCCATATATGTTGATCAAGTTCTACCCTGGCCTTATTCCTCTGTAAACACATGATTATTTCCCACATGTACGTCTGGGTCAGATCTTAGTGGCTGTAGTCTCCTCGGGTGAATCGGTCCACAAATGTTGATAAAGTGAGCGATCACTCACCCGCGTGCCAGTGCGACGTCCCGAGGTCGAACAGGCCGATCTCGTACCACACACAGGCGGCCCAGTGAGCGATCAGTGTGAAGGAGAACATCAGGATGGACAGGACCAAGGTGCTGTTGGCCGAGTACTTCTCCAGCTTCTTGATCAGCCGCACCAGCCGCACCAGCCTCACGGTCTTCATCAGGTGCATCATGTCGATCTGGCAGCAACACACGACCAAATAGTTTGTCAAAAAACTTGTATTTCTCAAGCGAAAATCTTTAACGTGATTTGTTATTATTATCTTTTGATTTCAATTCTTTCTTGGATTGAACCAAACTGGACTAAAGCTAAAGAAGGCAGAGTTGTAAAAGGACTGGCCTCCTGCCGGTCTCAGAGTCAGGACTAAACAATCAGATTCATGCAGATAAAATCTGGAACAATCTCCCTGAAAATGTGAGACAGGCTTCTACTCTGACAATGTTCAAATCCAGGTTAAAACCTCTCTGTCTGTGCTACAACTGAAGAACTGTATCATCTCTTTTGTGTTTATTCTTGAGCACTTTGAGTTTCCTTATGCATGACCTGTGCCTGTGCTATACAAATAAACCCGCCTCGCTGATGGACTCACCACATGGATGTTGAAGATGTGGAGCAGGTCCAGGGGAGTGGCGGCGATGATGTCAATGAGGAGCCAGGACTTCACGTAGCGCACGCAGATGGAGCGGCTGTCGGTCACCAGTACCTCCTCCACTTCATAGCTGGTCCGGAAGTTCACCAAGATGTCTGCCAGCGCCACACCAGACACCACCGGATATGAAGCCAATATTTTTATATTTTTAATAAGAATTTACTGGTCTAACCCTCGGTCAAAATGAACACAATGAAAGCACTCACCCAGGACAAAGAAGATCTCCATGATGGTGTCCAGCCCCAGGGTGGGTCGGTTTGCCAGGTTGGCTCTCATGAAGGTGATCTCGTAGGGCACGATGATGGCGATGTAGAGGGTGGCCACGTTGACAATAATGTCCCAGAGAGTGCGCGCTATTCCTCCGTGGTTCAGCAGAGGGCATCCATTGTGGAACAGCAGGGAAGGAGGCCACGGATCCACACTAGCCTTGGACTTGGAAACCACAGGCTGGTCCTCAGACTTGTCCTCAGGCTCAGGGACCTCCACACAACACACAGCACAGGTATATAAATATATAGATACAGGTAGATAGATAGATCTAAATACCTAGATAGATGTAGGTAGTTAGATCGATAGATACTGTAGATAGCGTTTCTACTACACACAGTATGTGTTTGTATATTCTATACAAACACATACTTCTCTGATTTGAAAAGGCCATAAACACATGACACAACATTTGAAAACTGCTTGAGAGGAAAGTTAGGTACCCCAGCTTTAATTTTTGTTCACACCAAAATCCAAGATCAAATAATGCACATACGATATTTTGTGAGTTGAGTTGTCATGGAAATGTTGTTAAGAAAAAGCCATCACCATAGAGATGTTTTTGTTTACCTTTTACATGGTGCAAAATTAATGAAAATAATATAAAACATATTTTAGGGTTTGATGGAGTTGTATTAAAACACAGACTGCTAAATATCACTGCAAAAAGTGACATTAAAGACAATTTGCCAATTGTAAAAAAGACATTTGCAGGAGATGTGAATAGTATCTGGATGCAGTGAGACTAGCTTACAGCTGTTACTTTATCTTTGTAAACTAGTTACATGTGCTAGTTACATGTGCTAGTTACATGTGCTAGTTACATGTGCTAGTTACATGTGCTAGCTACATGTGCTAGTTACATGTGCTAGTTACATGTGCTAGCTACATGTGCTAGCTACATGTGCTAGCTACATGTGCTAGTTACATGTGCTAGCTACATGTGCTAGTTACATGTGCTAGTTACATGTGCTAGTTACATGTGCTAGTTACATGTGCTAGTTACATGTGCTAGCTACATGTGCTAGCTACATGTGCTAGCTACATGTGCTAGTTACATGTGCTAGCTACATGTGCTAGTTACATGTGCTAGCTACATGTGCTAGTTACATGTGCTAGTTACATGTGCTAGTTACATGTGCTAGTTACATGTGCTAGTTACATGTGGTAGTTACATGTGCTAGTTACATGTGCTAGTTACATGTGCTAGTTACATGTGCTAGTTACATGTGCTAGCTACATGTGCTAGCTACATGTGCTAGTTACATGTGCTAGTTACATGTGCTAGCTACATGTGCTAGTTACATGTGCTAGCTACATGTGCTAGTTACATGTGCTAGCTACATGTGCTAGCTACATGTGCTAGCTACATGTGCTAGTTACATGTGCTAGCTACATGTGCTAGCTACATGTGCTAGCTACATGTGCTAGTTACATGTGCTAGCTACATGTGCTAGTTACATGTGCTAGCTACATGTGCTAGCTACATGTGCTAGTTACATGTGCTAGTTACATGTGCTAGCTACATGTGCTAGTTACATGTGCTAGTTACATGTGCTAGTTACATGTGCTAGTTACATGTGCTAGCTACATGTGCTAGCTACATGTGCTAGTTACATGTGCTAGTTACATGTGCTAGTTACATGTGCTAGTTACATGTGCTAGTTACATGTGCTAGCTACATGTGCTAGTTACATGTGCTAGTTACATGTGCTAGCTACATGTGCTAGCTACATGTGCTAGTTACATGTGCTAGTTACATGTGCTAGTTACATGTGCTAGTTACATGTGCTAGTTACATGTGCTAGCTACATGTGCTAGTTACATGTGCTAGTTACATGTGGTAGTTACATGTGCTAGCTACATGTGCTAGTTACATGTGCTAGTTACATGTGGTAGTTACATGTGCTAGTTACATGTGCTAGTTACATGTGCTAGTTACATGTGCTAGCTACATGTGCTAGTTACATGTGCTAGTTACATGTGCTAGCTACATGTGCTAGTTACATGTGCTAGTTACATGTGCTAGTTACATGTGCTAGCTACATGTGCTAGCTACATGTGCTAGCTACATGTGCTAGCTACATGTGCTAGTTACATGTGCTAGTTACATGTGCTAGTTACATGTGCTAGTTACATGTGCTAGTTACATGTGCTAGCTACATGTGCTAGCTACATGTGCTAGCTACATGTGCTAGCTACATGTGCTAGTTACATGTGCTAGTTACATGTGCTAGTTACATGTGCTAGTTACATGTGCTAGCTACATGTGCTAGCTACATGTGCTAGCTACATGTGCTAGTTACATGTGCTAGTTACATGTGCTAGTTACATGTGCTAGCTACATGTGCTAGTTACATGTGCTAGTTACATGTGCAAGTCACATGTGCTAGCTACATGTGCTAGCTACATGTGCTAGCTACATGTGCTAGCTACATGTGCTAGTTACATGTGCTAGTTACATGTGCTAGCTACATGTGCTAGTTACATGTGCTAGTTACATGTGCTAGCTACATGTGCTAGCTACATGTGCTAGCTACATGTGCTAGTTACATGTGCTAGCTACATGTGCTAGTTACATGTGCTAGTTACATGTGCTAGTTACATGTGCTAGTTACATGTGCTAGTTACATGTGCTAGTTACATGTGCTAGTTACATGTGCTAGCTACATGTGCTAGTTACATGTGCTAGCTACATGTGCTAGTTACATGTGCTAGTTACATGTGCTAGCTACATGTGCTAGTTACATGTGCTAGTTACATGTGCTAGTTACATGTGGTAGTTACATTACTAGTTACATGTGCTAGTTACATGTGCTAGTTACATGTACTAGTTACATGTGCTAGTTACATGTGCTAGTTACATGTGCTAGTTACATGTGCTAGTTACATGTGCTAGCTACATGTGCTAGTTACATGTGCTAGTTACATGTACTAGTTACATGTGCTAGCTACATGTGCTAGTTACATGTGGTAGTTACATGTGCTAGTTACATGTGCTAGTTACATGTGCTAGCTACATGTGCTAGTTACATGTGCTAGTTACATGTGCTAGTTACATGTGCTAGTTACATGTACTAGTTACATGTGCTAGTTACATGTGCTAGTTACATGTGCTAGTTACATGTGCTAGCTACATGTGGTAGTTACATTACTAGTTACATGTGCTAGTTACATGTGGTAGTTACATTACTAGTTACATGTGCTAGTTACATGTGCTAGCTACATGTGCTAGTTACATGTGCTAGTTACATGTGCTAGCTACATGTGCTAGCTACATGTGCTAGCTACATGTGCTAGTTACATGTGCTAGCTACATGTGCTAGTTACATGTGCTAGTTACATGTGCTAGTTACATGTGCTAGTTACATGTGCTAGTTACATGTGCTAGTTACATGTGCTAGCTACATGTGCTAGCTACATGTGCTAGTTACATGTGCTAGTTACATGTGCTAGCTACATGTGCTAGTTACATGTGCTAGTTACATGTGCTAGTTACATGTGCTAGTTACATGTGCTAGTTACATGTGCTAGTTACATGTGGTAGTTACATGTGCTAGTTACATGTGCTAGTTACATGTGGTAGTTACATGTGCTAGCTACATGTGCTAGTTACATGTGCTAGTTACATGTGGTAGTTACATGTGCTAGTTACATGTGCTAGTTACATGTGGTAGTTACATGTGCTAGCTACATGTGCTAGTTACATGTGCTAGTTACATGTGGTAGTTACATGTGCTAGTTACATGTGCTAGTTACATGTGCTAGTTACATGTGCTAGTTACATGTGCTAGTTACATGTGGTAGTTACATGTGCTAGTTACATGTGCTAGTTACATGTGCTAGTTACATGTGGTAGTTACATGTGGTAGTTACATGTGCTAGTTACATGTGCTAGCTACATGTGCTAGTTACATGTGGTAGTTACATGTGGTAGTTACATGTGCTAGTTACATGTGCTAGTTACATGTGCTAGCTACATGTGCTAGTTACATGTGCTAGTTACATGTGCTAGTTACATGTGCTAGTTACATGTGCTAGCTACATGTGCTAGTTACATGTGCTAGTTACATGTGCTAGTTACATGTGCTAGTTACATGTGCTAGTTACATGTGCTAGTTACATGTGGTAGTTACATGTGCTAGTTACATGTGCTAGTTACATGTGCTAGTTACATGTGGTAGTTACATGTGCTAGTTACATGTGCTAGTTACATGTGCTAGTTACATGTACTAGTTACATGTGCTAGTTACATGTGGTAGTTACATGTGCTAGTTACATGTGCTAGTTACATGTGGTAGTTACATGTGCTAGTTACATGTGCTAGTTACATGTGCTAGTTACATGTACTAGTTACATGTGCTAGTTACATGTGCTAGTTACATGTACTAGTTACATGTGCTAGTTACATGTGCTAGTTACATGTACTAGTTACATGTGCTAGTTACATGTGCTAGTTACATGTGCTAGTTACATGTGCTAGTTACATGTACTAGTTACATGTGCTAGCTACATGTGCTAGTTACATGTGCTAGTTACATGTGGTAGTTACATGTGCTAGTTACATGTGCTAGTTACATGTGGTAGTTACATGTGCTAGCTACATGTGCTAGTTACATGTGCTAGTTACATGTGCTAGTTACATGTGCTAGCTACATGTGCTAGTTACATGTGCTAGTTACATGTGCTAGTTACATGTGCTAGTTACATTACTAGTTACATGTGCTAGTTACATGTGCTAGTTACATGTGGTAGTTACATGTGCTAGTTACATGTGCTAGTTACATGTGGTAGTTACATGTGCTAGCTACATGTGCTAGTTACATGTGCTAGTTACATGTGCTAGTTACATGTGCTAGCTACATGTGCTAGCTACATGTGCTAGTTACATGTGCTAGTTACATGTGCTAGCTACATGTGCTAGTTACATGTGCTAGTTACATGTGCTAGTTACATGTGCTAGTTACATGTGCTAGCTACATGTGCTAGTTACATGTGCTAGTTACATGTGCTAGTTACATGTGCTAGCTACATGTGCTAGCTACATGTGCTAGTTACATGTGCTAGTTACATGTGCTAGCTACATGTGCTAGTTACATGTGCTAGTTACATGTGCTAGTTACATGTGCTAGTTACATGTGCTAGTTACATGTGCTAGTTACATGTGCTAGTTACATGTGGTAGTTACATGTGCTAGTTACATGTGGTAGTTACCTGTGCTAGTTACATGTGCTAGTTACATGTGCTAGTTACATGTGCTAGTTACATGTGCTAGTTACATGTGCTAGCTACATGTGCTAGTTACATGTGCTAGTTACATGTGCTAGTTACATGTGGTAGTTACATTACTAGTTACATGTGCTAGTTACATGTGCTAGTTACATGTGCTAGTTACATGTGCTAGTTACATGTGGTAGTTACATGTGCTAGTTACATGTGCTAGTTACATGTGGTAGTTACATTACTAGTTACATGTGCTAGCTACATGTGCTAGTTACATGTGGTAGTTACATGTGCTAGCTACATGTGCTAGCTACATGTGCTAGTTACATGTACTAGTTACATGTGGTAGTTACATGTGCTAGTTACATGTGCTAGTTACATTACTAGTTACATGTGCTAGTTACATGTGCTAGTTACATGTGGTAGTTACATGTGCTAGTTACATGTGCTAGTTACATGTGGTAGTTACATGTGCTAGTTACATGTGCTAGTTACATGTGGTAGTTACATGTGCTAGTTACATGTGCTAGTTACATGTGGTAGTTACATTACTAGTTACATGTGCTAGTTACATGTGCTAGTTACATGTGGTAGTTACATGTGCTAGCTACATGTGCTAGTTACATGTGCTAGCTACAGGTGCTAGTTACATGTGCTAGCTACATGTGCTAGTTACATGTGCTAGTTACATGTGGTAGTTACATTACTAGTTACATGTGCTAGTTACATGTGCTAGCTACATGTGCTAGTTACATGTGCTAGTTACATTACTAGTTACATGTGCTAGTTACATGTGCTAGTTACATGTGCTAGTTACATGTGGTAGTTACATTACTAGTTACATGTGCTAGTTACATGTGCTAGTTACATGTGGTAGTTACATTACTAGTTACATGTGCTAGTTACATGTGCTAGTTACATGTGGTAGTTACATTACTAGTTACATGTGCTAGTTACATGTGCTAGTTACATGTGCTAGTTACATGTGCTAGTTACATGTACTAGTTACATGTGCTAGTTACATGTGCTAGTTACATGTGCTAGTTACATGTGCTAGTTACATGTGCTAGTTACATGTGCTAGTTACATGTGCTAGCTACATGTGCTAGTTACATGTACTAGTTACATGTGCTAGTTACATGTGCTAGTTACATGTGCTAGTTACATGTGCTAGCTCGATGCTGCGTCACTGCTCGTAAAATGCATTTAACACTGTTTGCAGCAGATACATGGGGTTAACTTGTTCCTAATGTAACAACACAATGCACTCAACACATTTGACAAAAAAGAATAAAAAGTACATTAAAGTTATCTCACTCACATCAATAGCTTTGTCGGACGTCGACCCCATGGTGAAGTGTCCAACAGGTAAATCCAACAGAGGGGAGTTTTTGATCCAGAGAAAAGCGATGCACTGAAGCTTCATGCTGTTTGTCTGATCTGAAAAGTTTGAATGATGCTCGACAGAGATTTACAAACTCCCTTGGTTACAGCTAAACTCAAAAGATGCATTAATGATTCAATTTAAGGATTCAAATTAATGCTGTGTGTTGCTACGGTGACCACTGAGGTATAGATAGACAGATAGATAGATAGATAGATAGATAGATAGATAGATAGATAGATAGATAGATAGATAGATAGATAGATACTTTATTGATCCCCGTAGGATCAATTCAGGTGTCCAGTAGCAGCAAAAATAAAAATAAAATTGATTATTCTAAAAACATAATAATAGTAATAATCAGCAACAGCCCTTCAGGTCACAGCAGCACAGATGGAGTAGCCTCTGGGTGTAGCAGGACAGGTCACAGCAGCACAGATGGAGTAGCCTCTGGGTGGAGAAGAACGGGTCACAGCAGCAGAGGTGGAGTAGCCTCTGGGTGGAGCAGGACAGGTCACAGCAGCACAGATGGAGTAGCCTCTGGGTGGAGCAGGACAGGTCACAGCAGCACAGATGGAGTAGCCTCTGGGTGGAGCAGGACAGGTCACAGCAGCACAGATGGAGTAGCCTCTGGGTGGAGCAGGACAGGTCACAGCAGCACAGATGGAGTAGCCTCTGGGTGGAGAAGGACGGGTCGCAGCAGCAGAGGTGGAGTAGCCTCTGGGTGGAGAAGGACGGGTCGCAGCAGCAGAGGTGGAGTAGCCTCTGGGTGGAGAAGGACGGGTCGCAGCAGCAGAGGTGGAGTAGCCTCTGGGTGGAGCAGGACAGGTCACAGCAGCACAGATGGAGTAGCCTCTGGGTGGAGCAGGACAGGTCACAGCAGCACAGATGGAGTAGCCTCTGGGTGTAGCAGGACAGGTCACAGCAGCACAGATGGAGTAGCCTCTGGGTGGAGAAGAACGGGTCACAGCAGCAGAGGTGGAGTAGCCTCTGGGTGGAGCAGGACAGGTCACAGCAGCACAGATGGAGTAGCCTCTGGGTGGAGCAGGACAGGTCACAGCAGCACAGATGGAGTAGCCTCTGGGTGGAGCAGGACAGGTCACAGCAGCACAGATGGAGTAGCCTCTGGGTGGAGCAGGACAGGTCACAGCAGCACAGATGGAGTAGCCTCTGGGTGGAGCAGGACAGGTCACAGCAGCACAGATGGAGTAGCCTCTGGGTGGAGCAGGACAGGTCACACAGCACAGATGGAGTAGCCTCTGGGTGGAGCAGGACAGGTCACAGCAGCACAGATGGAGTAGCCTCTGGGTGGAGAAGGACGGGTCGCAGCAGCAGAGGTGGAGTAGCCTCTGGGTGGAGAAGGACGGGTCGCAGCAGCAGAGGTGGAGTAGCCTCTGGGTGGAGAAGGACGGGTCGCAGCAGCAGAGGTGGAGTAGCCTCTGGGTGGAGCAGGACAGGTCACAGCAGCACAGATGGAGTAGCCTCTGGGTGGAGCAGGACAGGTCACAGCAGCACAGATGGAGTAGCCTCTGGGTGGAGCAGGACAGGTCACAGCAGCACAGATGGAGTAGCCTCTGGGTGGAGAAGGACGGGTCGCAGCAGCAGAGGTGGAGTAGCCTCTGGGTGGAGCAGGACGGGTCACAGCAGCAGAGATGGAGTAGCCTCTGCGTGGAGCAGGACGGGTCACAGCAGCAGAGATGGAGTAGCCTCTGGGTGGAGCAGGACGGGTCGCAGCAGCACAGATGGAGTAGCCTCTGGGTGGAGCAGGACGGGTCGCAGCAGCAGAGATGGAGTAGCCTCTGGGTGGAGCAGGACGGGTCGCAGCAGCAGAGATGGAGTAGCCTCTGGGTGGAGCAGGACAGGTCACAGCAGCACAGATGGAGTAGCCTCTGGGTGGAGCAGGACAGGTCACAGCAGCACAGATGGAGTAGCCTCTGGGTGGAGCAGGACAGGTCACAGCAGCACAGATGGAGTAGCCTCTGGGTGGAGCAGGACAGGTCACAGCAGCACAGATGGAGTAGCCTCTGGGTGGAGAAGGACGGGTCGCAGCAGCAGAGGTGGAGTAGCCTCTGGGTGGAGCAGGACGGGTCACAGCAGCAGAGATGGAGTAGCCTCTGCGTGGAGCAGGACGGGTCACAGCAGCAGAGATGGAGTAGCCTCTGGGTGGAGCAGGACGGGTCGCAGCAGCACAGATGGAGTAGCCTCTGGGTGGAGCAGGACGGGTCGCAGCAGCAGAGATGGAGTAGCCTCTGGGTGGAGCAGGACGGGTCGCAGCAGCAGAGATGGAGTAGCCTCTGGGTGGAGCAGGACAGGTCACAGCAGCACAGATGGAGTAGCCTCTGGGTGGAGAAGGACGGGTCGCAGCAGCAGAGGTGGAGTAGCCTCTGGGTGGAGCAGGACAGGTCACAGCAGCACAGATGGAGTAGCCTCTGGGTGGAGCAGGACAGGTCACAGCAGCACAGATGGAGTAGCCTCTGGGTGGAGCAGGACAGGTCACAGCAGCACAGATGGAGTAGCCTCTGGGTGGAGCAGGACAGGTCACAGCAGCACAGATGGAGTAGCCTCTGGGTGGAGCAGGACAGGTCACAGCAGCACAGATGGAGTAGCCTCTGGGTGGAGAAGGACGGGTCGCAGCAGCAGAGGTGGAGTAGCCTCTGGGTGGAGCAGGACGGGTCACAGCAGCAGAGATGGAGTAGCCTCTGCGTGGAGCAGGACGGGTCACAGCAGCAGAGATGGAGTAGCCTCTGGGTGGAGCAGGACGGGTCGCAGCAGCACAGATGGAGTAGCCTCTGGGTGGAGCAGGACGGGTCGCAGCAGCAGAGATGGAGTAGCCTCTGGGTGGAGCAGGACGGGTCGCAGCAGCAGAGATGGAGTAGCCTCTGGGTGGAGCAGGACAGGTCACAGCAGCACAGATGGAGTAGCCTCTGGGTGGAGCAGGACAGGTCACAGCAGCACAGATGGAGTAGCCTCTGGGTGGAGCAGGACAGGTCACAGCAGCACAGATGGAGTAGCCTCTGGGTGGAGCAGGACAGGTCACAGCAGCACAGATGGAGTAGCCTCTGGGTGGAGAAGGACGGGTCGCAGCAGCAGAGGTGGAGTAGCCTCTGGGTGGAGCAGGACGGGTCACAGCAGCAGAGATGGAGTAGCCTCTGCGTGGAGCAGGACGGGTCACAGCAGCAGAGATGGAGTAGCCTCTGGGTGGAGCAGGACGGGTCGCAGCAGCACAGATGGAGTAGCCTCTGGGTGGAGCAGGACGGGTCTCAGCAGCAGAGATGGAGTAGCCTCTGGGTGGAGCAGGACGGGTCGCAGCAGCAGAGATGGAGTAGCCTCTGGGTGGAGCAGGACAGGTCACAGCAGCACAGATGGAGTAGCCTCTGGGTGGAGAAGGACGGGTCGCAGCAGCAGAGGTGGAGTAGCCTCTGGGTGGAGCAGGACAGGTCACAGCAGCACAGATGGAGTAGCCTCTGGGTGGAGCAGGACAGGTCACAGCAGCACAGATGGAGTAGCCTCTGGGTGGAGCAGGACAGGTCACAGCAGCAGAGATGGAGTAGCCTCTGGGGGGAGCATGACAGGTCAAAAGGTGGAGTACCCGCTTGATTCGGACCATATCCTCTTATCAGTGGATTTTCGCCTGATCCGCTTGCTTCGGACCATGAATCCTCTCCGCTCCGGTCTGGACCAGTGCAAAACCATAGGGATCTGGAACCAGTAAATGTACTTCTTACAGCATTGTATACTTGCTTCTTTGTTATGCTGAAGTCAGAGATTTTATACTTAATCCTTTATTATGCTAAAGCTAGAGATTTTACACTTGCTTCTTTATTATTCTGAAACTAGATACAAAAAAGGACAGATGTTTCAACATTTTGTACGAAGATCAGTTCCAGCAAAAAGTATATGGTTTTGGAAGCTTTTTCCTGAAACAAAAAAAATTACGCAACATTGCCACCAATTAGATTTGGCCATTTTGCATTTAAAATGTCCTTGAGCTTCAATACTGGGTATACAGTGACATATTTGTCACCTCAATACTAGATAAAAGTTGTATTATGACCACACCCTCTGACAAACAGGAAGCTTGCTGCTTTAATTCTTATTTTTTCTTTTTTTGTCCTTGAGTCTTTCTCTTTCTAAAGTGGGACAAAGTGTGTGAAATGCATCAAACACAACGCGCCTGTCCAGTCCATGCAAACTTGTCTCTCTTCGCCTGTATCATATTGGGGCCTTTAGTGATTACTTATTGACATTTCCGGGCCTTTGCTTTATATTACTTATGAGACAGAGGTGGAAGTAATGGAGCTGAACGGATGCTGTGCAGGTTGGACGTATTTTCAGCACTGACATTATGATTCCAAGCCTTTTCTAATAAAACTCAGATTCAATATCCCGTGTTATCAGTCATAATGAGATTTACTTCTATCAAGGTCAGTTTCAAACTTGTAAAATCTGCTCCAGTTGTTGAAATACACTCATGGAATCTCGTCTTGTGGCTGGAAAATGTAGACGTTTTAAAGGAATGCAGAAATGAATTAAGATTGGGGAACTAGAAAAATCATGGACACAGACAGGGATCTGGACCACACTGTAAAAAATACTTTCCCAGCTCATTTATTAATTACACAAACACAGTAATAATACAGTAGCATATTGGTTAAACATATAGTCCCAGGTTAGGTCCATAGTCTGCCCGTCGGTGGAAGCGGACCCCTCTCTCATTGTGGGCTTCCCGAGGTCTCTCACTTCTTCCCACCCCTATCATGGTGCGGCCTTTTTGATCCCTTTTCCTGATTTTATTTTGATATGGGTCGAGTTGATTGCTTGTTTGTTCAAATCATTTCCCTCTTGTTTTCAGTTTGTTCCGTACGTGGCTCTTGTCTCCGTCCTCCGTTCCTGTGTTTTACATTCAGTTGAGTTTTGTTTCTTGAATTTCTTGTTTTTTAAATTGGTTCATTTTCTGCAGTATTGAATTTTGGGTTCTTCCTCCTTTTTTTTGTGTGGATATGTGACAATTGGGTTTTTGAGTTGTTCCTTGTAGATACATG